GACTCCGAAGCGCTGTTATGTAGAATGCGTTCGGGCAGCCTCTGTGGTTAGCCGGGAAGGGATGTGCCCCGGGTGGGGGAATTCTGTGCGGTGTTCGCTTTCCATCCAGAGGAAAGTGCCTCGCGGAAGAGACGGCAGCGCTGGCCGGGGTGGCAGGGAGTGGCCCGGCTGGGGGGTGCGGGGGTGTTTTTACTCTAGAATCACCAGACTTGGGGGATGACCTTCTGTGTGGAAGTATCAGGATTAATGTGTCATTTTATCCGTCTTACAGTAGAAAACGATCTGGCAAACCCGGCATCCTGACGCATTAGGAGGACTCGCCAGCCATGCAGCCTGGCCCACAAAGGTGGGCGCAGGGGGCCCCGTCCTGAAACAGGGCTGCAGAAGCGTGGGGCCCTCTGCCCGCCTCTGCCGTGTCTGTTCGAGCGTGGTTGGCGCTGGTGCGTCCAGCCGTGTTGGGGGCCCCAGGCACCAGCAGGAGGGAAGACCCAGACTGTGGCGACGCCGGCTTCTGGGTGGTGGCAGGAGGGTACACGGGAACCCCACCTGAGTTCGGAGCATCTCCCTGGCGGGGCCACCAGCTGGGGAGGAAAGCCAGGCGGCTCCTGACTTGGCACAGTTACCTCATAGCGAGGGTTCGCCTCCCTGGTCCAGAGGAAGTCCAGTCCAGGCTGGGGTGGGTCGGCCTTCCCAGAACTGGCCACTCTCTACACTGCATTGCAGCTCTTGGATGGCGAGGGAGGTCCCGTGCGTTACAACTCATGTGCTTCTTAGGTTACGGTGAGACAGGGGCACAGGGGAGTCTCTGGAAGTTTAAGGAAGAACTGCATCACAGGGCATGGACTGGCTTTGCCCCAGACAGACTGTGCCCCGAGGGTCCTTTTCGGCGGGAGAGGTTTCTGTGGAGGGGAGCTCTGAGGAGGACCGTGGTGGTGTGGTTGTGCCGACAGCTGGGCCTTTCTTCTGCGCACCTGCTGTGTGCCGGACACTCCGTCAGTCCACGGTGCTGAAGCCTGTCAGGGGAGCGGCCACTTCGCCCCGGTGCTACGGATGGGGACAGGGAGGCACGCAGTGGTCCCGTCCTTTGTCCAGGACCAGACAGCTGGCACACGGGGCAGCTGGGGTGCCCACCCAGGCGTCTGCTGCAGTTAGGACGCGGCCCACGGTACCTCCTTGCTGCAGTCCACGTGGGCTGGCAACTCCTACCCGCCCCTTAGGGTCCCCCCTCAGGGATCCACTCGCCCACCCCTCCCAGATCGGACGGTCCCTCTTCTAGCAGCTGTCCTTCCGTGAGGAGCCCACTGCGAGGTGCCACCGCTCTTTCCAGAAGGGGAGTGAGTGCACCTGAATGGTGGCATGCGACACAGTGACAGGCACTGGACCCAGAGCGGGGGCCTGCCATCGTCTTCAGGAGAACCGTCACCATGGAGGGGGGCTCGGCTGCACACCGTGTCTGCAGCGAACGCTCAGGTCAGCCAGGGCCCCGGGGTCCTGCCGAGTCTGTTTGCAGGTGAGGCCAGTGCCCAGGCACCCCGCTCACAGGTCGCGTCTCTGGGGGCGTGATGTGCGGGCTGAGCTCCGTCCTCGGAGGACAGTGTGCAGGCGACCGGTCGGGAGGAGCGGGCACAGGCACAGCAGAGCGGAGGGCGGCCTGCCTGTTCAGGGGTCCCCAGAGTTCGTGAGACACAGTGGCGGGGAAGATGGCCTGCACCCTCTGGCTGCAGTGTCTGCCTGTGCCTGTCCCCGAGGTGTCCCTTCTTCCTCTGGTTGGTCAGCTGCGTGCCTGGGTGTGGACATGGCAGACGGCCGTGTCTGTCCATGGAGGCAGGGGTCTGGGCATACGCCTGGCGGTCCCTTCCCCAGGTCAGCATGCGCCTGGTTGGATGGGGCCCTCCATCAGGTGAGTGCCAGGGACTGCGTACCAGACCAGGGCAAGGGTTGAAACAGAACAAAAACCAGGGACAGGTTGAATTTAGAGATGAGGTTTTTTTCCTTGAACTACGACCTCCTACATTGTGAGTTATTCCAAGGGTCCCCCAGTGACCTAAATCAGAGCTTTCTCTCCAGCTGTGCAGAACGTCACTGGGTCTCGTGGGCACCAGGACCGAGGGGTCTGAGAGGTTTCTTTGCAGAAGGCTCAGCTGAACGGCCCCTTCGGAGCAGGGCTGCGGCACCCGTCCCTGGGGGCATGGCGATCTGGTGGCCCCGTGTCGCTTCCTGGGGCTCTGATTTGAGTCATAGGAAATCACCTGAAAGGTGACAGTTGCAGCCTTGACCTTGGTTTTCTGACGTCTCAAGGAAACAGGCCAATGATTTCTCTTTCCCCATTGTGGTCTGGTCCCTCGCGTCTCCCTGGGAAGGAGTAGCCAGCCACTCACAGCTTGAAAACGTCCTCTGTGTGTGTGTGTGTGACTGAGTGGCACGCAAGTGGGCACACGTGTCTCTGAAGTCCCAGGGCGATCGAGCTGCCCTTGGGGTGACTGTGGGACTGTGGCAGTTGATCAGTTCCCGAGGGACCACGATGCCACCGCCACGCCCCAGGATGCTGTGTGCACGGAGCTCTGCCCCCCCAGCAGTCCCTGTGTTTTGTGAGCTTCGAGTTGAGCCCCTGGCGTGTGGGTCCTTTAGAAGGACCGCATACCGGGCTCGGTGCTGGACACTTTTACATCTATTTTCTTTTGTTTTTTAAATTCTTGTCACTGAACGATAATGTGGTTGGTCTTGTCTCCGTGTTAGAGACGAGAAAGCCGAGTGCAGGGAGGCGAGTGTTTGTTTGGCGTCAGGGGGTCCTGACCCCAGCCTGGGGTGGGCCTGCCTCTGCTCCTGTCCCATTTGGGTGTCGAATGAGGCCGTACCAGTCAGGGAGGGAACTTGGGACTCGGTGTTATCGGGTAGCTGGTGAGCTCAGGCAGGCCTCCAGTCTCCACATCTGTGAAATGGGATCACAGTGCCTGCCGAGAGTGTTTCAGGGTTGGAGAGATGTTATGTGGGGGCATCTGGGAAGGTTCCAGACACTGAGAAGTTCTGTTGGTCATGGCTGTCACTTCAGTGGTGTTTGGTGCTGGCACAGCTTTCCGGGTGCCCGTCTGCGTGGAGCCCGCTGTGAGGGCCGGGAGGGGCCGAGGGCCCTGACCAGGACCGGGAAACAACGTGCTGGGTGTTGGCACTGAGCTTCGGAGGCTGGAGAGGTCCCGGGTGGAAGGTCTCAGCTGACACGAACCAAGGGCGTGGAGGGGCCTTAGGAGGTTGTTTCTGCTCTGATTTGAGCCACGTGGGCAGACAGGAGAGTGTTTGGCTGGGTCTCTTGCTGATCAGATTTTTGTAATCAGGGTTTGGGCCTTACAACCGAGTGCGGACAAACAGGCCCAGCTGCAGGCTGTCAGAAAGGCCCTGGGGGTGGCGGGGAGACACTGCCACCCTCGGTGTGTGTTCTGCTGTCCCTCCCTGAGGCACGGCTCCTGTCACCGGCCAGGCCTCCCTGAGATCTGTAGGTGTCGTTGCCCCGCCAAGGCGCCCACCGGGCCTTGATGACGCTAGGTGGCCTTGCTCATGGGACCAGGTCCCCCGAGGTTGGTCCACAGACTCTGCAGAGCGCCCGCTCTGCTCCGGTTGCCGGGACGCTGGCTGTGAATGGACGAAGAGGCCTGTGGTGTGCCCTCAGGCTCTCGCAAGGGACACGGAGGGCAGGCGGGAGACCAGGAAGTGAGGGGTCGGGGCTCTTGGAGGGAGGTGCGGGGCCAGCTGAGCACCCCCTTGGCGTGTGTCACAGCGGCAGGTGCTGGCACCCAGGTGCCAGGGACAGGAAGGAGCCGGTCGGGGGTGTTGGGGGAAGAGTGTCCGGCAGAAGGGGCATAGCCTGCAGGCTCCAAGGCCGGCGGGTGCGTGCCGAGGTCAAGGACGGCCAGGAGTTCCCCCCGTGGACTTGAGGAAACCTGTGTTCTGGACCCCTGTTAGGAAGCTGAAATTTCAGTTTTCCCTTCTTGTTGTCACGAGGGTACTTCCTGTGGGTGACCGAGGGGACCACAGCGACGTCCAAGGGGGGTTTCCGAGGACAGAGTTACCCAGTCCACGCCAGTCAGGGTGCTGGGCTGTCCGTGTGCAGATGTAAAAGCCGTTTGGGGAAGTGTCTCTTACAGGAAAAATGTGAAATTCCCTAGGAATTGGTTCCAGGGGTTTGAAGAAAGTGCAGCCAAGCAGTTTGAGAGTGAGGGTGTTCTTCAGGCTATTTTTAATCACAGGAACAGTTCCTCAGAGAACCGTTAGTGATTTTCAGTTCCGTGCCTAAGACGTTACACAGTCGCAGTTTTGAGGAATAGGGAACTTCTCAGGAATAGGGAACCCTGGTTGTGACGTGAGCTGGAAACAGATCAAGGTGGAGCAGGGACTAACTCAGCCGCGTTGAACAGGCGTCGGCCCGCCGTGGTGGGAGCGGCGCCGGCCAGCACACCCGCCCGGAGGCCCTAGCTGTTGGGAGTGCAGATTGGCCCAGTTGCTTTGCCAAGTGGGAGACACAAAACAAGAACACAACACCCTGCATGTTAGAAGGCAGTGCCCCCCGTGGAGTGGGAGGGACTTGAAAGGGACCTGGGGAGTGTGGGGTGCTTGTGACATGGCATTTCTTCTGGGTGCTGGTACACTGGTGTGTGAATTCATTTAGTGGAACTTTAGATGCTTACGCTCTTCTGAATGCTGTGTTTCAATATAAAGAAGTCTAGAAAGTCAGTGGGAAAAAGGACGTCATATGTTTTTTATACATAGTGGAAGACAGTGCCGGTGTGCACTTGTGGACACCTGTGTGGAGAAGGTGCCAAGCCCTGCCTGGCACTGCTGCCCATCAGCTCTGGGGCGCTGGCGACTTTGGAATAAGAAGTGGGGAGGTGTAGGTATGCAAGTTTGTTTAACCCAGTATTCAGAAACAGTGTCGCCAGCATGGGCTGGGGGAGCTCTCGGGGAGCTCTCTGCTGGATACTGTTTCCTGTCCTGTCTGGTCCTCCTGCACGTTTAGAATGTTTACCTGTTTACCATCAAGACAAATGTAACCGTATTTACCCATGTATTCAAAGAAGGGCCCGCTGGAAACCTGCTGGAAGCAAAACAGCCTTCACGGTAACTGAGTGGCCAGGGACTTGGGAGGGCTTCGCTTTTCCTGGGAAGATTGGGAGAGAGGTGCGGTCACGCAGACACACACTGGACATTGAAAAATTGCCTGTCATCGCCCTGTACGTGTGCGAGCAAGATGAAGGTGGGTCTTGCAGATTGCAGGTTGGGGTGATGTTCCTTTCTTGACAGGTCGTGACGTTACAGTGCGTGAGCCAGTAAAAGACGCACACACGGCACGGTTAGTGAACTTGAGCCTGGAACAGTTTCTCTTTCACCGAGCTCTGGAGTGGGGGTTGTGGGAGAGCTGACGGTGGCGGTCCTGTTAGGCAGGGTGGCCCCGACGTACCCTGGCCACGGAGCCGCTGAGTCCTGCTTCTGAGGCCAGGGCTGTGGGTAGGACGAGGACACCTCCACTCCCGCTCCCTGAGGACAGGGCGTCGGTGTGAGGACCCGCACCATGCAGAGAGGCTGCCCGTGGAAGGCGGAGGCGGCCGGGGGCCTGGGAGGAGCCTTCTTCCCGCTGAGCCTGAGGTCAGCTGCGGACCCGAGTTCCTGGTACCTGGGTGGAGAGTTGTCTGGCAGGCACCGTTCACCCCGCACCCACTGAATGAATATTCATGGCAAGGCAGCGGCGGCAGTTAGCAGCACCCGTTTTTTGCAGGATTTGGGGCATCAAGTGCCTTCTGCCCTGCGACTGTGGTCCTCAGACCGTGGCCCCAGGACTTGCCTCGCCTGGAAGCTGGTTAGAAATTCAGGTTCTTAGACCCCACTGGAGACGCTGAGGGTGGGGCCCGGTCACCTGTGTCTTTAAAATAAACACACACGGTACAGACATACAGACGTCATGTGATGTGTACATGCACATGTGCGTGACAGTGCTAACTGTTTCCGGGTGTGCCGTGCAGCGGCATCGATCACGTCCGTGTTGCTGAGCATCCGTCATCGCCTTCTGGGTCCATGGCTGTTCCATCCCCCCACAGTGACCCCCCCCACGCCCTGCCCCTGTGGTTCCCTGGTGTCCACGGTCAGCTCCCTGCCCCTGTGACCCTGACAGGTGGATCATGTGGTAGATCATGTTGTGGTGGATCATGTGGTAGTTGAGCTGCAGGGGGTGATGGGACCTTCCTCCCTGTGGCACCAGGTGACCCCTCCCTGCTCGGTGAGGGGCTCTCTGCCAGCCAGAGAACCCAGGAGAGCCAGGACGCTGGGAGTTAGGGGGCCCCAGTGTCCAGTGCCCCCCACCCCACATGACATGTGGCCACCTGTGAGGGGCCAGCCTGTGCCTGCGGAGGGTCTCCCTGCCTGTGACTTCTGCCGGCTCAGCCTTTGCTGAGAGAGGCTGGTGGACACAGGGCAAGGGCCTGCCTGATGGCCGGGCTCCCCGGACATGCACATGGGGTTGGGCCCTTTGGACCCGGTGAGCAAGGGCCCTGGATGCCACGGCTGACAGCACTCTGGAGCCGGGTCTCTGTGGACACAGAGCTGGCGGGACGGCTGCCTGGGGTCCTGACGGAAGCGTGACAGGGCACAGAGGCGTGTGTGGGCGTGCCCAAAGGCTCGTCACTGGGTGTAGGTGGGCGGCCAGCGTGGCGGAGCAGCCCTGTGCAGGCAGGGTTGTTAGTACGGGGGAGGGCACGCCCGTCGGGAAGCCCGTGAGCAAGACTCAGGTGGTGGCGGCGGGCCTGGGGAGGGCACCCTGGACCCTCGTTTTATAGGCTGGAAGCTCAGGGGCGGTCAGCCACGCAGCTAGGAGATGGCAGGGGCTGCATTTCATCCTGCGCTGTCGGAAGTCAGACCTGTCCCCGGCCCCCAGCCTTCCCGTGTGGGCCTGGCTGGCCTCTCCATCCGTTCCATCCCCGTGGAACTGGCTACCAGGGCGTCCGTTTGCCAGGAGTGCCAGAGCCCTGTCCTTGAATTTGTCGGGTCCTCTGCAGAAGCTGGGAACCTCCTCAGGGAGCCCGGCACCTCCCGCAGGTGTGGCCCTCATATGGCGTGGAACCTGCTGGAGGGGTCCCTTTCCCTGAGCCATTATTTTTTGTGAAACTGACACCTGTCCTACTGTAGCAAATAGGCACGTCTGGCCATTAAGGTATTGGGGATGCTGGCACCCCCCCCCAGCCTTTATGTATTCATACACTTGTGTGCGCACACACTCACGCACATACTCACGCACTCACTCACACTTTGACACACACGTTTTGATGAGTTGCGTGCCTCTGCTCCTTTGCCACTACACTTAAGTCCTTGATAATGAGGCCCCAGGACAGAAATGGACGAGGAGGAGAGTTGAGTGCAGAAGGGGGGCCACTGTTCCTGCCACCCCACAGGTCCCTCTGCTGTGGTGGACGCTGCCCGTGGCGCCCTCGCCCCAGTTTGTGGGGTTTCTCGTGCCCCTGGGGGCTCCCAAGCATAGCAGGAGGCCTCGGTCTGTTTTCTTCGCTGAGCTTTAAGGTCAGGTAAGGGCAGCTCCATTTTCAGTCCTGAAATCCTGACTCACGTCACCGATGGAGGTGACCCTGTCATTAGCTCTGAGGTGTGGCCTGGATAGTTGCTGGGAGAGGTCAGTTGTGGCAGGCAGTACGGCCACACGGGGGGGGGGGGGTTAGGGAAGGAAAGGTCCCCACTCATACTGAGCTTCCTGGAATGAGGCTTCCCCGCCGTGGGACACTGTCATTTCTTGCCGGAAGGACCTTGATTCTCGTTAGTGCTGTCTGTGCTGGTCACCAGACTGACCCTTAGCTCGGTTTTCCTGTTTGTGTGCTGCTCAGACCTCAGTCTCTGAACTGCCTGCCTCACGGGCTGACCTCCTGTCTGTGAGGAAGGGGGCGTTCTGGGGTGCAGGACTGGGGTCCCACCCTGCACACGCATGTGGGAGCGTTGCTGTAGGAATGGTCACTCTCACACGGGCAGGTGGCATGTGAGCAGAAACTGGGGGACACACAGTTACATGGCCAGTGCCTGACTCCAGAGGAGAGGACTTTCTTTTGCACATGGCTTATTGGCATACGACTTCCTTTCCATCCACCAGTCGAAAGCGATTGGACTGGTCCCGAGTGTGGGTGTGGTGCCGACCTGTGAGCAGGCGGACCCTCAGACAGGGCCTGGCCTCTGGGCGTGAATGAGTGGGTGTGTCCTGGGTGGCTGAGGGCTTCGGCCGGTGCTGGGCCCCAGTCCATGTGCTGGACTCGCAGGCGGCACAGGGACCCAGAGCTGGCACCGCCCCTGCTTTCTGAGTGGCTGGTCCCATGCAGTGCCACCATCTCTCCTCCAGACTTGCCGATGCCCCAGGCCAGTGAGTGGAGGGACCTGGACCCCAGTCGCATGCAGGTGCCGCAGGGGAACCCGCTGCTGCTGTCGCACACCCTGCAGGAGCTGCTGGCCAGGGACTCCGTGCAGGTGGAGCTCGTTCCCGAGAAGAAGGGCCTCTTCCTGAAGCATGTGGAGTACGAGGTGTCCAGCCAGGTAACTGTGTGCGGCAGGGCCTGCGAGCTGGGCCTATAGGTGAGACGCAGGCAGGAAGGCGGAGAGCCAGGCCGCCCCACATCCTGTGGTGGCTCAGCCCGCCTCGCCATCCCTGCACCAACGCTGCTGCTCGGAGGCTCGTTGGGGCAGGATCCCGGACGGTGGTACACACATTTGGCCCTTTTTAAAATATATATATATATTTATTTAGTTATTTATTTATCTTTTAGAGGGGAAGGAGAGGGAGAGAAACATAAATGTGTGGTTGCCTTTCATGCGTCTCCTGCTGGGAACTGGCCTGCAGGGAACTGGCCTGCAACCCAGACATGTGCCCTGACTGGGAAGTGAACCGCCATCCTCTGGTTCGCAGGCCTGTGCTCAATCCACTGAGCTACACCAGCCAGGGCTCAGCTCATTTTTTTACATACGCATATTTCACTGTCTTTAAAAAGATTTTATTTATTTATTTATAGAGAGGGGGAGGGAGGGAGGAAGACAGGGAGAGAAATATTGATGAGACATCGCTCAGTTGCCCCTCGTGCGCCCCCTACTGGGGACCCAGCCTGTAGCCCAAGGATGTGCCCTGACTGGGAATTGAACCGCCAGCCTCTCAGTTTGCAGGCTGGCACTCAGTCCACTGAGCCACAGCAGCCAGGGCACATTTGACAGGGCACAAAAGGTTATAAAAGGTTTTTTTATCACCTTTCTAGGTGGGGCAGTTACTAGAATTAAGCAGGAGGCACAGAGCTCCCCTATTCCCTGACCCCCCCCCCACGCCCGGCCTCCTCCTTTGTCAACCTGCCCACTGGAGCGGTGCGCGTGTCTCTGTCGCCGCCATCCAGAGTCCACAGTCTGCTCCAGGGCTGCTCTGGGTGCTCACGTCCTGTGGGTTTCGACAGACGCATCCCGACAGGTGTCCCCCACGCCCCACCTGTGCACCCCTTACCTCTTCCTCCCTCAGCCCTGGGCAGCCGCCCACCTTTTCACTCCCTGCGGTGTCACCTTTCCCTGTGTGTCACTAAAGGGGAGTCATGCCGTGTGCAACCTCCCTGGACCGACTTCCTGCTCAGCAGCGCCCCTGGTGGTCAGGGTGGTGTGCCAGGTTTGGACGCAGCCACTTGTGTGCATCTCTGGTGCAGGCTCTGACCTTCGATCCAGGCCGGATCACCCTGCTGAGGAGGACACGAGCCTCGCGGAGCGGGCAGCTTCCTCCGTGATGGGGCTGCAGGTTGCCGGGAACCCACTGGGAGCCCCAGTCGGTGTCCCCGCCCAGTGCTCGGCCTGATGTCAGTCAGAGGGCCTCTCAGGGAGGACTGTTCAGGGGCGAGGACCACCCATCTCAGGGGTCAGAGACCCCTGTGGGTCTCCTCTGTCCCGGAAGACCCGGAGGGACGCAGTCGGGAAGCGGTTAGAGCTGCGCAGGGCTCTACGTCTGCGCTGAGCGGGTGGCTTTCCTTTGGGTGAAGTCCTGTGATGGCAGACAGGGGCCCTGCGGCACTGCCTGCGGGGTCCGGTGGGGCGTGGGGCGTGCCGGCGTCGTGTCTGAGTGCAGGCCCTTTGCCTTGCAGCGCTTCAAGTCCTCCGTGTACAGACGCTACAACGACTTCGTGGTCTTCCATGAGCTACTGCTCCAGAAGTTCCCCTACCGCATGGTGCCCGCCCTGCCGCCCAAGAGGATGCTGGGAGGTAGGCGGGGCCAGCCTTGGGGGCGGGGCGGCGGGGAGTGGGAGGGCTCCCTGGGTGCTGAGATCCTGGCTGTCTTCTCCAGAGGGTACCACCCTTCTTGTGCAAGGGTTCCTGCTGGTCTCCAGGGGCCTCATTCAGTAGTTTCAAATAGTGTTTTAAATACTATCTGTGCCCTGGCTGGTGTGGCTCAGTGGGTTGAATGCTGGCCTGGAAACCAAAGGGTTGCCGGTTCGATTCCCTGGCAGGGCACATGCCTGGGTTGCATGCCAGGTCTCCAGAAGCAGGTGTGATTGTTTTTCTCCCTCTCATTCTCCCTCCCTCTCTCTCTAAAAGTAAATTAATAAAATTCTTTAAAAACACTCTATTTTCCCTGGCTGGTGTAGCTCAGTGGATTGAGCACAGGCCTGTGAAGCCTGGGGTTGCTGGTTCAATTCCCAGTCAGGGCACGTGCCTGGGTTGCAGGCCAGATCCCCAGTAGGGGACACATGAAAGACAACCACACATTGATGTTTCTCTTCCACTCTTTCTCCTTCCCTTCCTTTCTCTCTAAAATTAAATAAATAAAATATTAAAAAACAAAAACACTCTATTTGTGGTCAGACTTAAATATCTTTTCTGTACACATCCACTTTTTCCCCTTGAAGTGAAACGTGTCCATTGGTCCCACTGCAGGCTGAGTTAGAGGTCACGTGAATGGGAAAATGGGGTTCAGTGAAGGTGTGTGGCCCCAGCTGTTCCTCATCGCGGGGTCACAGGACGTGACTTGAGTGTGGGTGGTCCAAGGGCGGCCTGGCTCTGAGGTTCTCCTCGGCCGTCCAGGCCCCGTGCGTTCGTCCGAGTGGGCGCGGAGTGGGTGCTCTGTGCTCTTCCTCCTGTGGCTCTTCGGGTGCGACGCCCACTGCCCTGGGCTGGCCCTGCGCAGGCTCCGGGCCCCTCCCTGTGTGGCCGGCCTGGGGCCCCAGAGTGCAGTGTGCCCTGCCCGCCTCCACGGGTGACCCTGCGTTCTGTCTTCAGCGGACAGGGAGTTCATCGAGGCCCGGAGGAGAGCGCTGAAGCGCTTCATCAACCTGGTGGCCCGGCACCCCCCGTTCTCGGAGGACGTGGTCCTCAAACTGTTCCTGTCCTTCAGCGGTCCCGTGAGTACCTCAGTGCCTCGGATGGGCCCCGGTCCCTGGCTCGGTGCTCTGCTGTTCTCCACCCATCCCTTGTGTGGCCGCCCCGGGGGCTGGGTTAGAGCAGGTCGTCCGCACTGTCGGGAGGCTTCTTGGTCCGGGCTCTGCAGGGTTTGGTGTGTCGCATGGAGGGGTCCTCAGTGCGTCCGTGTGGGAGGCTCCATGGTTCATGGGTTCTCGGACGTGCAGGAAACTCCGGATGTGAATGCGCGTTTCCTGGAAGGAGAGAGGCCACATTCAACCAGGGCCCCCCCCCCCCCCCACCAGCCGAGTCTCCTGGCAGGGCCCGTGTGGCCCCGTGTGCTGGCTGTGATCGCTGTGTATGCACCACCGCAGTGAGAGCCCGGGGCGGCGGCTCCTTGCCCAGACCACTGTCTGGGGTCCATCGACGCTGCAGGTGGGAAGCTGAGGCAGAGCCACCGCCCTGGCCACAGCCGGGTCCCCAGGATAGGCAGCTCTTCTGTGGAGACCCTCTCGTCGTGGGGTGGGCTGGAGGTGGCCCCAACAAGGACACCTTTGTTGGTGGGCCATACACCTGACCCTCTTCTCCTTCAGGGGCTGGGGAAGGGGCTGGGCCGGTCCCTGCTGCAGGAAGGCCCAGGGGCAGAGGGCGGAGGCAGGGACTGCAGGCCTGGCCTGGGCTCCTCTCACTGCCTTGAGGCAGAAGCAGCTTCTGATCCCTGGAGAAAGCTCGCTGCTCCACTGTGGCCCCTGGGCGACCTGCAGGTGCTGCCAGTTGTGTGGGGCCATTGCCAGACACTGGTGCATGCTTGTCCTGGAGTGGGAGTGTGTGGCTTCTGTTCCCTGGTGGGGACAGGTCCCCTCGGAACAGAGCTTTGTTGCCAGAGGGTATGTGATGGGGGAGGAGAGCTGACAGGGGCTGGGGACAGAGGAGGGGTGGGGAGGGTGCTGCTGGGCGTGGAGCCAGGCGGCCCTGGTCCAGAGGTGTGGGGCTGCCCTGGCCCCTTGCTTTTATACAGCTGGACCCTGACCCCATTTTCTTGTTTGGTAAAATGAGAGAATTGGAACAGATATTTTGGGTGTTTCTGGAATCCTGGATTCCTGACCCATCAGCGGCTCTAGGTTAGGGTCTCTGCCCATTTCCCTGGCTCTTAGTGGGGCCTTCTCCCGCAGCGTGGTGGGGGGCTGGGCAGGGACCTGTGGGCCACCCTCTCTCTGCCCCCAGCTGCCCTGGGACGCTGGGGGCCGAGTCTGTGGGTTGTTCCCGGGAAGGAAGGGCCCTCAGCTTCCTTCTCGAATCTGCCGTCTGTCAGGGTCTGTGGGGAAGGGGGGTCTCAACTCCCCAAGCGGGGTCCACAGAGCTGCCTCTGGGGAGCCAGCCTTCCCCATCCCGGGACGACCCCCTGAGCTTCAGAGCAACAGGGAGAGTGGAACCAGAGACAGCAAGGGGGTGGCGCAGTGTCCCGTCCCCGTGAGCGTGGACGTGGGGCGGTGCGGACCGGCCCCGGCCCCGCCCTGACTGCGTGGCGGCGTCTCCCTCTGCAGGACGTGCAGAACAGGCTGAAGGAGGCGGCGCAGTGTGCGGGCGACGAGTTCCTGACCTGCAAGCTCGCTCCCCGGGCCAAGGTACGGAGCGGACAGAGGCGTCTGCGCTTCCCCACGCGACCCTCGGGTGATGGTTGGCTTCACGCCCCTTGTGGAGATGAGGGGACAGGGCAGAGAGGCTCCCGTGCCGAGTGACGCCGGAGCCCCCAGGCTCTCTTGGGCCGTGTGCCCGCTTGCGCCTTTCGGGTTCCAGGGCCTGGTCATCAGGTTGGTGGGCGTCCAGTCTACCACGTCTGCTCCCTGAAAGGGCGGCGGCCGCAGTTCTGTAGCTTCCTGTTTCCTCCTCGAACTGCTGCGTCTCCACAAACCCAGACTCGCTCCCTCTGCTCATTCCCGGAGCTTTCTGATTTCTAGGCGTGACATAATCAGTGGGGTCAATGTCACAGCAGGTGGAAAGTGACTCTTGGGGACTTGGTGGGGGCTGCAGAGGCCTCCCCGCGTCGACGACCCCACCTCGGGTTGCGGGTCACTCCTGGGGCGCAGTGGCAGGGCCTGCTGTGCAGTGTCTGGGACGCTGGAGTCGCAGCCCCTCGGGGTCATCCAGCTGTCCCTGCCACGCGCACGACCACGCTTCTCCATCCCCGAGACACAAGGGGTCGGGAGCAGGCACCCGTGTGCCTGTGTGCCCAGGACTGGGGAGTCTGGGCCACTCCACCTGTTCTGTCGGACGGGTGCTGCGTCCCCCGTGGCCCGCGGCCCGTGTGGTCTGAGCGGTGCTGCACACCCAGTCCTGCGGCTTCCCCTCCCACCCGGCAGGACTTCCTCCCGGCGGACGTCCAGACTCAGTTTGCGCTCAGCCGGGAGCTGGTCCGCAACGTCTACAACAGCTTCTACAAGCTCCGAGACCGGGCCGAGCGGATTGCGTCCCGGGCCATCGACAACGCTGCGGACCTCCTCACGTTCGGGAGGGAGCTGAGGCAGGTGGTCCTGCCGGCTCGGGGTTCCCCCTTTCCCCGAGGTGGGCGGGCCTCAGGCTTCCACATGGGCCCGCAGCAGAAGGTGCCGCCAGGCTGAGCTGTCCCGCTGCAGAAGGGGATGGGAGGTCGGGGTACGGGGGGACGCGTATCTGGAAGAGCACAGGCCAGGAGTGGGGCAGAGAGAGGTGGGTTTCCCACACTGATGGGCACCAGCGTCTCGTGGGTCACCTTGCTCATTGTCAGGATTAGACTTAGATTGACTTGACCTGGGAAGGGACCCCCAGCTGCGGATGCTGCGGAGGAGAGGTGGGGCCCCACCTGGGCTCCGCCCCTCGGCAGGCTCCTGGGCTGGCTTCCACACTTGCAGCAGGATCCTGTGGGGTGGAGTGGGTGCAGCAGACCTGGGGCTGAGGTCCCTTCTTTCCAGGAGGCTCCCAGCTTCTCACAGCTACTCTCTGAGGAGCGAGGGCGTGGGTCAGGAGAGGCGCAGGTGGCTCTGGGGTGATGTGGTGTTTGGGCTGGAGGAGGGGCCGGGGTGCCGGCCATCATCTCAGCCCCTGAGTGTCTCGTCTGCTGTCCCGTCCCCTCAGTGCGCTAGGGTCCGACACCACCCCGCTCCCCTCCTGGGCCGCCCTGCACAGCAGCACGTGGGGGTCCCTGAAGCAGGCGCTGAAAGGCCTGTCCGTGGAGTTTGCCGTGCTCGCCGACAAGGCTGCGCAGCAGGTGAGTGGATGGCCACCCCTGCGCCTGCCCCAGGGCCCTGCAGGGCGGCTGCTTGAATGCACATGCAGGTTTGGGTGGTGAGCCAGTGACCAGTGACTGCCGTCCTGGGGTTGGAACCGCACGTCCCCTCGGTTCCCGGTGCTCCCCACCAGTGTGTACGCCCCTGAGAGGGTTGCTGTCACCGAGCCAGTGGGGTTCTGGCCTCCGAGACTTAGCTGGGAAGATACGGTCTGCTTTGGGAAACCCCACTTGGGCTTGGCTTGTGGGTGGGCCAGAGCCCACCTTGCCTCCCGATGACTCATGAGAACAGGGTCTCGGCTCCAGCACCCGAGACTCTGCCCTCAGCCTGTCACCTCAGGAAAGGCCTGTGCCATGGTGGGTGCCGTGCAGGAATCTGAAAGACCTGGTCGTCTCGGGGGCCCGTCCACAGACCCGGTCATGTGAGGTGGGGCTTCATCCGGCTGCTTCTCTGCTGTGAAACTGTCACGTAATTTCTTGGTGAAGTTGGCTCCCTGTTCCCAGGGAAAGGGCATTTTGGCCACTGGCAGATGCAGTCACAGCGCGACGTACGCGTGAAGCCCTGGCCACTGAGGCTGCCTGGCAGCAGGGGTGGGCTGCAGCGGCACATCTGGGGCTGTGCCACTGGGGGCTGGTCGGGCTTCGGGGGGGGGGTGCTTGGGTGCCGCGGGTGCCTCTCGGTGCCAGGTGGGGGACCTGAGCTCGTTGCTGGTGTGGAAGGTCCTGGGCTCCCGTTCTCCGTGGCCCCAGGGCCTGCCTGCTCCCTCTTGAAACTGAGCGTGGGGCTGTGTTGGTCTCTGGGAACTGGTGCTGGACGTGGGCCGTCTCCAGGTCTGGCCGTGCCTGGGTCAGCGGGGAGCTCAGGCGGCCCAGGTGCGGCACTGTCCTGTGGGGGCCTCGCTCCTCATGCTTGGTCTCTGTGCCCGCCCCTCCACATCTTCGTACAGCAGACAGCTGGGCTGGGTCACCGAGGACACTTGCGAACCTAGATCCAGCCTATGACACAGAGGAGGGCAGCACTTCTGGTCGCAGGGACCTTGGCCTGCAGCCCCTACAGCCCCCTCTGCCCTGGCAGCCTCCCAAGTTCGTGGCAGGCGCCAGGAGTCCCTGAGGGCGGGGTCGTTTCTAACGCCTTTCTGGTTCTGACTCAGATGCTCTTTCCACCTGGGGCCTGCAGCGGGGTCGGGCTGCTTGGGTGGTTTAGGGTCTCACTTGGACGTTCCTCCTGGCCCTGAGGTTCTCTGGTCTGAGCTCAGGAGTGTTGCTTTGAGACTCCCTGTCTGAAGCGGTGTCCCCTCCCCAGTACGCTTGCTGTGTTCGGTGGCTGTCACACTGAAGCAAGGTTAGCAGTGTTAACGTGAACCGGTCAGCCCCATGACCCCTTGGGACTTTCTTCGGTACAGCTGCAGTTCTGTCCTCCTTGCACTGAATTAGCGAGATGCCTGAGGGCTGCTCCCCTCACCCCGCGGCTGTGAGCCCTGGCTCTGCTCCCCCCGCTCTGCTGGGGGGCCTGGGTAACCCCCCTCCCCTGCCAGACGAGCGAGACTCACGTGCGACCCAGTGGTGGCAGCTTGCGTGTGCTTCTGGTGGAGGCACAGGTGGTGGTGGTGTAGGGTCTTGTGCGCCACCAACCTGGAATCGGGGCTCGTTGGCAGGTGACGTGATCAGGAGAAGGGCCGGGGGGCCCCACCACAGACCAGGGGAGGTCCCCCCTCCGTTAGGGAGGAGCTGGTGGCCACTGGGGTTTTTCTGTAACCTTGCCCTCCAGACCCTCGGCTGTGGGCTCAGGTGGCCAGAAGCTCTGAGCTCAGGGCCCTCGAGGCCCCGAAGTGCCGGCCAGGCTCTGTGGGTGCGTGCGGCAGACTTTGGCTTTGGAACAGGGGAAGGACGTGTGACACTGAGCGGCGAGCACACGTGGGCAGGCGGCCCAGGGAAGCGAGGCCCCTGCTTTCATGCAGCCGCAGGGTTTGGCGACTTCCCTGGCGTGTCTGGCTGTGGTTTGGGGGCATCTGCCCTGCCTGGGGACCATGGGACTGTGGCCAGCCTCTCAGTCTGCCCGTGCCTGGCACCGGGTGACGCATCTCCGGTTCCCAGGGCCGACAGGAGGAGAATGACGTGGTGGAGAAGCTGAACCTGTTCCTGGACTTGCTCCAGTCCTACAAGGTGAGTCTGGGCCACGCCCTGGCCAGGGTGAGCGCCCTGAAAGGCCCTGGGCGGGGTGTGGGGGGGGCTTCCCCACTGAGGGGGAGCAGAAGAGGAGTTGGGGAGCCCGGTGCGGACAGCAGGCGGGCAGTGCAGGCTCTGGTGTCATTGTCCTATGGCAGGCACTGTGGGGCGCTCTAGGCTGTGGCCCAAGCAGGTTTCCCCTGGGCCTCTGGCCTCCTTTGTCTGAGGGCAGAGGGGTGTGTGAGTGTGTGTGTAAACGTACGTGTCTCTGAGTATGCCTGTGCCGTGGGGGGATGGCACAGCTCTGCACACGCCCGAGGGGCGGGCCCGGGGGTGTGTGCACACCTCTCCAGGGCGGCTCTCTGCCTGTGGGGTGTCGTGATGGGATGTGCTGCCTATGTCGCCCGGCAACCCTCGTGCTGAGGGCTCGGAGAGCTGGCCCAGGGCTGTGGGAATGTCCCAGAAAGGGTGTTGGCAATGGGTGGGCTGCCGCCAGGCAGCCACAGAAGTTCCAGCCCTGTGACTATGGCTGCTGTTCCTCATGAGACTCCTGACGGGGGCGTTTTAGGGTCCGGGGGTCCTGGGGCACTTTCCTCTGCCGGAGGGGCAGCAGAGGGGCAGTGAGCCGGGCGTCGCAGCCCAGATGGCCCGTCTCTGCAGGGCAGCCTGTTTCATGTGGGTTGTGAGTGGCGGCCCCACCCTGGGCCCCCAGGCTGAGCTGCTCTGCTCCGTGGGCAGTCTTGAGCGAGGCGTGAGCAGGTGTGCGTGGACTGTTTTTAAGAGGAAGAGCCATTCCCAGAAAGGCCTCCCACCCTGGCTGGGCCTGGCCGCATGCCCTCCTGCCCGGAGCGTCCCCCCGGCCCCTGCCGGCAGGGGCTCCAGCGCCGCTCTCCCTGCCAGGACCTGTGTGAACGGCACGAGAAGGGCGTGCTGCACAAGCACCAGCGAGCCCTGCGCAAGTACAGCGTGATGAGGAGGCAGATGAGCGCTGCCGCGCACGGCCGCGAGCCCGAGTCCGTGGAGCAGCTGGAGTCTCGCATTGTGGAGGTGCTGGGGCGGGGGCTGGCCCACCCCCCGGTGTGGGTGGACCCCATAGCCGCACTGAGGGCCATCCGTGGCTGTTCCGTGGGCACCACTGGAGCCCGGCTGGGCCGTGGGGCAGTTACGGGGCGGGTGCCCCGGGGATGGCAGCGTGGTGGCCGGGCCGGGAGCAAGGGCGGCTCTTTGTGCTGCAGCAGGAGAACGCCATCCAGACGATGGAGCTGCGGAACCACTTCTCCCTCTACTGCCTCCACCAGGAGATGCAGCTGGTCCACGCCTACCTGCCCCTCACCTCCCACATCCTCGGGGCCTTCGTCAACTCCCAGATCCAAGGGCACAAGGAGGTGGGCTCCCTGGCGTCACCCCCCCCCCACAGGGCTTTCTTAGGAACGTTAGTGGAGTCGGGGAGAGTCTGCGACCTTAAACTTCGTTCAGACTCCTGCCTTGGGCACAGGCAGATGCTCACCCCGTGCTCATCCTCGGGACTCCCCAGGGGGCCGGACGGTGGGGGAGTGGCAGAGCGAGACTGCAGGGACATCTCCTATCTTCTGGAGGCACTTGGGGGTCAGGGATGGCGTAGGAATCCCAGGACCGAGATAAACGGTCGGTGGGGATGAGGGTGAGGCGTTGGGGCCAAGCGGGGCGCCTCCCTGCACACCTTGCTCAGCCGCCTCCAGGCGGTGGCTCCTGAGCCTGTGGGAAGACCCGCTTTTGTCCCGAGGTGTGGACGCCGTGGCAGCACCTTCCCGGGCTGTCAGCCCTCAGCTCACCCGTCTCCAGTAGCGACCCGCGTGTTCATCTCTGAGCATCAGGGGCTCTTGTCTGGCCGGGGCTGGGGAGCCCCTGGGAACTGACCCCTTTGTAGCCCATGGCCAGGCAACAGGTCTGGCTCCTGCTGCGCTCTGTCCTGGGCCCCTGGGCACCCCCTCAGCGGGCGCTCTGCCGGCACCCGCCCCCAGCTCCTGGGGTTGTGTCTCAGACTCAGAATTTCTGAAACCTGACTCTGAGCCCCGAGACTGTTGCCTGTTTTGAACTCTGGGCCTGTGGCTGGACCTTCATGTCTGTGGCTGGTTTTCCGTCTGAAAAAGGGCGTGAAACCTAGTGGCCTGGGGACGCCCAGCAGCCTGGGAGACTGTGGGAACTGAGCTGCAAGCAGCCCTTGGCCTGCGGCTGGTCGCGCTGGCCGGTCTCGAGGGACCACGGAGACCCCCGCGGAGTGGCAGGCCGGAGAGGAAGGGGCCGGGCCTGCTCTGCTGGGAGTGCTCTGTGAGCAGCGTGTGGGGTGAACTCAGAGCCGTAGCTCACAGGAGTGGCGGGGACGGCGACAGCAGGGGGATCAAATGCAGGTGGAGAGCTGTCCGTAGAAGGCAGAGGTCATCTGTGCAGCTGGAGGTGGCTGTGATCGACTCAGTGGACAGCCGAGACCCTGGTCTAGAACCGGGAGGGCTGGCCAGCAGGCAGGTCCTGGGGTGCAGGCCCTCCCACGGTGCTGACTGCCGTCTGCCGGGCCAGGCCTCGGGGGTGTGCTCTTAGTGGGGCACCAGCAGGACAGCAGGTGAGCCTGGGTCGCACCTGGCTCAAGTGGTTGGGACCCCGGTCCTCTGTTATAGGTGACGACTGGTCCCCCTTCTTGTGATCTCTGCCTGATGTACACGTTCCCAGGGCCACACTCTCCTTCTCTGTGGTCACCTGAGCCGCTCTGCCCCCAGGGATGACCTTGGACCCCGCCCACTGCAGAGCCTGCCTGCCCCTTCGTCCTCCCGTGTCCCTTTCTCGCTGCAGAGCTGGGCAGGCGAGGTGGCGTGTCCCCTTCCCTCCTGCGTTCGTTCCCCTGTCGTCACCCGGTGGAGGTTGTCCTGGTGTCTGACTTGCTGAGCTGGAAGGCGACGCTGCTGGAGCTGTTAGTGCCGGAAATGCCGCGCTCCCTCAGCTGCCGTGTCCAGCAGACTTGTGCTGCTTTTGTCCCGCCCGCAGGGCACAGAGGGACCCGCCGTCTGTCACCTCTGGTTTCGGGCCCACTCTTGCTTTGGGCTTTGCCTGTGGAGGAACGTGCCATGATGCAGGGAGTGGGAAGGGCAGCTCTGGGGCAGGTGACCCAAGGCCGGTGGTGGTGCGTCCCCTCCCGCCCCAGCCACTGGGCGGGCTGCCGTTGGGTGCGGCATGAAGGGCCCAGCGAGGGCGGCGCCGGCCTGGCTGACCCTGGCCCTCCCCCCGCAGATGAGCAAGGTGTGGAACGACCTGAAGCCCAAGCTGCACTGCCTCTTCGTGGGGCCCAACAGCACCCTGACCCCGCCGAGGTCCCCGAGGGAAGGCCTGTCTCCGCACTAGCGCCGAGAGGACCCGGCCCCCCACTAAAACTTCTTTCCAAACAGCGTGTCCCTGTTTAATTCCCTCCGGATGGCGGCTGCTCCCCAGGCCCCACCAGCTGCCACCCCTTGAGCAGAGAGGAGCTGACATCGGAGCTGGTGCGGCTGGGGTTCAGGTGGCTCCCCTCCCCCTGTGGGGGCGGGGCCAGAGATGTGACCCCAGGTCTCTGAGCGTCCGTGGAAGCTGAGGCCATACGGGGTTTGTGGCAGTTGTCCCTGACCCCGGCACTGTGGCCTGTGAGTTGGGCGGGGAGATGTGTTGGGATTCCTTGAAATGGATTTCTCCCGACACCCAGAGGCAGGGCAGCAAAGGATGGCTCTCCTGCTGGTGGTGCCTGGGGAGTGTGCAGGGACCCCTCTTTCGTGGGACCTGAGGCTGGAAGGGGCAGAGGGTGCAGGTAGTGGGTCTTGTGCTGGTGGGGGCCAAGGGCCCGAGAGCGGCCTGCTGCTGTGAACCTTCCAACCACCCCCCCTTCTCAGGCCACCAGGACCCTTCTCCCAGACTATCCCACTTGCTGCCCCCGCCACCTGCCTCCGGGGCGAGGGGATTGGTGCTCCAGCAGCTCTGGGGGTGGGAGTGGGCCTGTCCTGCTCACACACCCCCGTGTGTGAGTGTGGAGCAATGGGACCTTTGTGGGACAGGTGTGGGGGGCATCCTGACACTCCGTGGGATCTCGGGGGCCCGCCTTCCAGACTTGGGCTGTCTCCCCTGTGTGTGCCGCAGCTGGACCCTGAGCCCAGGTGGGCTCTTGGGTAATAACATCTGCAGACAGGCTGCTGCAGGTCATCCTCCGGGGGAAGGGTCCCTTGGGCACACCCCATGCTGGGTTCTGTCTAGGGGGAGGCAGCCACGGGGTGTGGAGAGACGGCTGCTTGCTGCACCAGCCCAAGGCCCCGCTGCAGCCGACACGTGCCTTCCTGGTCCGAGGATCAGGGCATCGACCCCCCAGTGCTGGCCGTGTGGGGGCCACTGTTGCCTTTTGATCTTGCTCTTTTTAGAAACTGGTCCTCAGCCACGTGGGCCAGGTCCATGCTGCCACTGGAGGCCAGTCCCTCCCAGCGCTGTGTGTGCCTGAGCTGTCACGTGACCAGCCCACCTCCATCCTGCCCCTGGGAAGCTGCTGTTCACGTGTCTGGGGCCCGTCACGGGTGACAGGACGAGGGGTGACAGGGAGCACCTCCCAGGGCAGATTGAGGCCCTGCTCGTGCAGGTCACGAGGTATCGGGTGGTGGGCTGCACGCCTGCCCCCTCCTGCGGCCCCCGGGGGCCAATGTGCCACCACAGCCTCGCCCCCAACAGTGACGGGACCCCCAGCGTCAGCCTTCCTGGTCCAGAGGGTTCACTGTGCCTGCTCCCTGCAGGCCAGAGCCACAGTGACACTGCTGCCTCGGCCTGGCCTGCTGTGCCGAACCCTCAGCAGCTGCCAAAGACAATCGCTGTCGTGGCCCCCCCCACAGAGCCTGGTGGGCGGGGGGCAGGGGAGAGGGTGTGTGGGACTGTGTCTGGGCCCTGCCTCCTCTGTGCCTGAGTCTGCCTCACATGGGGCACACTTTACCCCCCAGCCACAAGGGTCCCCAGCTCCCACACCCAGCAAACGGGACTGTTTACAAGTGGCCTGCATTCCGAGACCTTCATTGACTAACACAACTATTATTAAACGTATTTATAAAAGTTGGGGAAAGTTGTGAGTTCTTTGTGGAAGTTGGCAGGTGCCCCCTTTCCTGGTTGGAAGCCAGGAGAACAGCCCATCCCTCTTGGGCTCAGGGACAGTGACTGGCCTCCAGGGTGGAGCTGACTGGAGCTGTAGCCCTGGGCCCTGGTTGTGCCTCGGTTTCCCCTTATAAAATGCACAGTCACAAGGGTGTGGAGGACATACATGTTACCCATCTCTGTGACCCCAACAGGAGCTTGTGGCACTATCCTCGTCAGTGCCAGCCCCCTCCACCAGCAGCCACCAGGGGACAGTCACAGCTGTGCTCGTCCCCTGGCCTGTGTCCCTCTCCTGTTCCCAGTGGTGTGGCCATAGCCCAGCACATCCTGCGACTCTGAGGACAGGCCTGGCCTGGCTGTGGGGTCCTGGTGAGAGACGTTGAAAAAGCAAAAGATGTTTTATTACATTTCTCTTTCCCCTCCAATCAAGTTCCAGATGGGAAACCTGGCCGTGCTCAGCCCCGGGACCCACTGCGCCACCTGGGGCGGGCAGGGTTCCACCCTAGGCATCGGCCACCTCGCGCAGCTGGTAGTCCAGGATGGTGTCCTGCCCCTGGAACTTGAAGTACCCGTGGAACTTCCTCTTCTGCAGCAGGAGGGGGAACCAGTAGCTGTCGTCCGGCCACATGTCGGCAAAGGGGATCTGGTCCAGCGGGAACCACTGAGGCCGCATCTCTGGAGTGGGTGTGGGTGGGAAGAGCACGAGCAACTCTCAGCTGGGACTCAAAGGAGGTGCCGCAGCACGGTGCGCGTGCAGGGCTTGGGCAGGAACTCACCCGACTGCTGGGCAGAGGGGGAGGTGGAGCAGGGCGCATGCCGGGGCCCCAGCAAGGCCTGCTTCCTGGTCGGAGGACAGGACTGTGCCAGGCCTTTGGACTCACCATCGCTTTCCACAGGGGTCCCCTGGACGCCGTCTGCTCGGAAGATGTGCACGTCCATCCGCTCCGGCTTGCCCTCGAACTCGAACATGATGTTGCCCGCCTTGTGCAACACGTCCACGGTCACGCCACACTCCTCCTGCAGCTCCCTGGGGAGAGGTGGGCGGGGTGAGGGCGGCAGCTGGAGCGCAGGTTGTTCATGCTGAGCCTAGCGGCGCAAGGATGCGGAGCGAATGTTCAGACCTGTGAGCTCAGCCAGGGAGCTGGGCAGGAGCCGTGGGCTGGACCGCAGGAGGGGGCCCCACAGCCTGTGGGGGTGTGCAGTTTTCCGGACCTCCTAGGGCTGGCCGGTTCCAAGGTCTGGGAGGGGCTGGGGTTGTGACGGCTTTGGGTCCGGTACAGGGCTCACTGGCCAGCAGTCTGGGACCCCATGGTAGCCGGGGCCTGGCTGGGCTTCGCTGCTTGGTTGCTCCTGGGAGCAGGCTGGGAGAGCCAGGAACCCCTGCAGGCTGCCAGAATCTGGGCCCGGAACCAGAACCAGAGCCTTCCTGCGGGAGGGGTTGTCCTTCCTCACCGCATGCTGAGAGCACAGCGCCGCCCTGCAGGCCACTGCTGTTCTAACCTGTTCCAACAAGGAGACGTCTTGCCCTACAGCTACATCTCCGTGGTTGACCAGACGCCCTGCCTCAGTGGGCCCCTATTCTGGCCTGTTCTGTCCTCAGGGCTGCTGCACTTGCAGGGGCCTGAGGGTCAGTCTCACACCAGCACAGCTGGGGGGCCCCAACCACGCCAGTGCAGGCAGCGACTTAAATGTTTCCAGTTATGCTTTTGTTGCAGACAATCTCAGCAGCACCCTTGGCCGCCTCACCCAGGAGGTTTTTTTTTTTTTTTTTTTTTTTAAGATTTTATTTATTTATCTTTAGAGGAAAGGGAAGGAGAGAGGGAGAGAAACATCAATGTATTGTTGCCTTTTGTGCATCCCCTGCTGGGAACTGGCCTGCAACCCAGGCATGTGCACTGACTGGGAATTGAACCACGATCATGTGGTTCGCAGGCCTGTGCTCAATCCACTCAGCTACACCAGCCAGGGCTCACCCAGGAGTTTTGTTGCCATTCCAGCACTTCCCCTGGGCTTTTCTCCTGACAGCCCCGCAGGAAGCTGCAGATAGGACACACTTAGCTCCCTGGGACACTGCAGAGCCACGCGGTGAACCTCCCTCCAGGCTGACAGTTTGGGCTTGCTCCACACGCAGCGCTACCTTGGGCACGCAGGCTCCTTGTCCAGGCACCGCGGGCACTTTCTGGAGGGTCTGTGTGGGACTCGGGACCAAGGCCACTGCCACCCTGGGGCTCTGTTCTGCCCAGGGACTCTCACTCCCCACTGCCTTATATTTGCTTGTTTTTATGAAAGTGCTCTAATTATGTCTGCCCATTTAAAGTTGTACATAAAGGGCTTTTAAACTTCATCTCCAGGGGCTGAGGGGCGTGATATAGTTACTTGTGTGCCTGCCACAAGGAGTCAGGGAAAACGCTTGGGTCGTTAGAAACACGCAGGTTGGGTTGAAGTGGTCTGACTTCGGTGGACCTTCCTGGAGGCCTGGACAGCTCCCACCTGCGGCCATTGGCCGGACTTTATTCACTGAGATGGTGAGTGGAAATCGGACTTCACCTGGGGCGCACCAGCCCCACATGTCTCTCCAGCGGCAGGCAGGTGGACCTGTGCCTGAAACCCTCCACCTCCTGATTCAGTGTTTTGACTGGTGTCGGTGACTCTCCCGGGCATGCAATAGTGTGTAAAGTACCAGTAAGCCCTTGGCGTTGGTGGAGCCATCTCTGGGCGTTGTGGGCGGGAGAGCACTGCTGCCCCTTCTTTGTACTGCACCTGGTCCTGTCTGTGGTGCTGGTTCCCGGTGGCAGGTGAAGAACTCGGAACTGAGCAGCTGTGCTCGGCCCCCACTTTTCTGAAGGTGGTGCTGTGTGTCCTCACCCCTCAGGGGGCCAGCAGGGGTGCTGGCCAGAAAGATGGCACACCCACCCTCCTACAGCCCACACAGACTCTCTGAGGGGCTCTCACCACCTAGAGGACATTTCGTCCTTGCAGCTCAGGTACCCCCTTCCCTGGGCGGAGGGCACAGCCAAGCAGGGACTCGTGCACACCGCCCGGAGCCCATAGGTGAGTGAGGCTCTTGAATGGCGGTTTCTTCGGGACCCAAAAGCGCAGCTCAGAGGACAAGGAGACACTGAGTGCTAGTGGCCTTGGCCACTCCTGGGACCACCGAGGCCCATGTGTGTGGGAGCCCCTGGGACCGGATTAGCCAGCCCCGCACCTACACCAGAGTGCGCCATCTGGCCTGCCCCCCCACACAGGGCAGGGACATAATGGTCAGTTCTCTTTTCGAGGTGTCCTGACCCTTAGCTCCACCTCTATGCCCCGCAGTCCGGGCTGGTGCCCCAGAGCCCTTGGGCAAGGAGCGGGGTCTTGGAGAGAGCTCCTCAGCGATGGCCTACAGCCCCAGAGCCGGTGTGGTGGCACACGGTTCCTGCCACTGAGTGGTCTCTGTGAAGGGGGGGGCAGCGTGGGGCCCTGGACACTCCCAGGAACAGTGTTTTCCAGGAGCAGCCCCGGTGGTGGATACTCCGTCCAAGAACCAGCATCCTCCACAGCCCCACCTGCTGGAGGAGGCCCCAAAGTGCAAAGAATGGTGAACCTCTGAGAGGGTGCGGGAGACCTTTGTCATAAAGCTGTCAGCCTGCAGGGTTCTGTGCCCTGTGGTGAGGTCAGGACAGAAGGGAGGAGTGAGGCTGAGAGTTCTTTAGCAGGAAGGAAAGCAATGGGCCAGGAACTTAGATCTACATGAAGACAGGAAGAGCAACAAGGAAGAAACACATTGAGGCAACACATTTTATTTTTGTCTAACTGCTCTCACGGATGAAAGTCTGAAACAACAGCAGTGCCGCACCTGCTCATGCGTGCATCCCGTGTGTGTGTCTGTGCTGCTGTGACTTGTCCGTGACGGCCGAGGCTCAGGGGCAGGCAGGGGGTGGTGGGCCACAGTACAAGGCAGTGTTGGTGCCGGCACTCGGGTTAGATGTTGGTGTCTTACAGACTCTAGGGGGTCACTAACGCGGATGAGAGGGGACAGCGAGATGCTGGGCCAGAAGAGGAGTTGTGTGAAGGGCTCAACTGAAAGCACCAAAGGTAGAGGAACGTGGAGGACAAGGGGAGGGACAGGAATGGGGACGGAGCACGCCGAGAGCAGGGAGGAAGGTTGTGGATGATAACGGAAGCAGCCATCGCCACGATTGCCAGTGGTGTGAGCCCCCATTCAGAGCCTGGCAGAGTGGGTCGGGAAACAGGCCCCAGTGCGTGTTCTCTACAAGGGACACCCGTTAAACATATAGATTCAAAGTATAAAGACTGAACAATATAAAGAGTGAGATATGCCGATGAAAAGTAAATGGATGGAGTCCTGGCTGGTGTAGCTCAGTGGATTGATTCACTTCACTGTTCAATTGCCGGCTGGAGCACGGGCCTGGGATGCGGGCCAGGTCCGCAGTTGGGGGTGTGTGACAGGCAACCACACACCGATGTTTCTCTCCCTGTCTCCTCCCTTTCCTTCTGTCTAAAATAAAATCTTCATAAAAAAATAAATGGGCAAAAGACTCAAGCAGACATGTCAGAAAGAAAATGGCAGCTGAGCGGCCCACCAACACAGCAGGTGCTAAGCTTTGTTCTTCACTTGGGCAAACAATTAAAACCTCAGTGATGCCCTGGCTGTTGTGGCTCAGTGGATTGAATGCCAGACTGCAAACCAAAGGGTCACCAGTTCAGTTCTTGGTCGGGGCACACGCCTGGAATTTGGAAAGCAGGACTCATGTGTCCATGGGTCACTTCAGGGAGCCCAGCGACCCTGGCAAGCTGACTATATGCACCGTGATAGACTGACTCATGCTCCCCCTAGGGGAGTACCCACCAGGAAAGGGGGCACACAGGCACCGGCCGTGCAGGGCTGCCTTGGCAGAACAGGATGCCCACGCTGCAGGGTGTTGGTAATGAACGTGGCATGGCAGTGAGAAGGCAGAGTGCTCCTCCATGCAAACAGAACATGGGGAGGAGCCCACACACAAAGGCCTATCCTGTGCGATGCTGCCTACAGGATGCACCAAGGCCACCGCTGTGAAGGAAGTCAGGCTGCCCGAGGGAGGGCAGCATCCAGTGCCTAAATGCTCGGAGGAAGATCTGTGCTCTCCCATCCACAGGGTGCACTACCTCTCGAACTTGTCTGAAGTGTCTTAGCCCTGGCTCACAGAGCGCTTCTAGGGGAAGGACAGAGGGAAAAGGACTAACTGAATGACTAGAAATGAGAGTGCTGTGAAGGAAACACACGGGAGGAGGTTTATCTATCTGGAAAAGCCACTCAGAGGTGAAGGTTGAGAAGGGGTCGTCACCATGATGAGCCAGGAGGAGCAGAGGGGAGGGGCAGAGGTGAGAGGACTGGCTGGCGGGCTCCAGCTAGAAAGAGGAAGCCAGGACTTTGTAACCCAAGCTGCAAACACACCAGCTTCCCAATCGTGTCCTGAAAACCACCACTTCCCCGGCCGCCACTAACGTGCTCTGAGCACTCCGCGCGGGGCACCGCCAGGCCCTTTATCTGCACTGTCTCCCCAGGTCTGCACACCAACCCTGCGCGGTGGGTACTGGTTGTTATTCCTACTTTGTAGGTGAAGAAACTAAGGCGCAAGGGTTAAGCGCCTGCTCCAGGTCACAGGGCTCAAAGTGGCGAAACCAGAGGCAGCTGGAATCCGCAACCGTGCAGAAGCTGGCCCCGTGGTCAGGCTCACCTCTCCCTCACCTCTTCGCCCCGTCCTCGATGGTCTCTCCCTCTTCAACTTTGCCCCCGAAGCCGTTCCACCGGCCAGCGCCGAAGCCCCGTTTCTTCATGCCCAGGAGAACTCGCTCAGGCTGCACCACCAGCACCAGGGTGTAGAGCCGGGAGGCGCCCATGGAGCCCTCGGGTTCTAGGAGGAAGGCAAGGGGGCCGGGTCAGCGGGACTAGGGCGCGGACCGGTGTGGATGGAAGCCCGCGTCCCTCGGCGGGTGGCGGCCGGGGAACGGGAGCGTGCTCCGGAAGGCAGGGAGGGGAAGCTGCTGGTAGTTTCCCAGCTCCGCACGTGTAGCTGGCCTGCGCCTGAGCACCTGATCTAGGTAGAATGGAGCTCAGACGGTGGCCCCTCTTCTCCTCCCGGCTACCAGCACCGGCTGGTCCTGCACCGCGCGTCCGCCGCGCTCACCCGACACCAAGATAAACATCGGTTTACCCGATGGCTCTCCGAACCTCCCCCCGGACGCCCTGGGCCCCCGGCTCACCTGCTCCCTCTTACCCCCGACCCCCCGGGGCCCCCTTCGCCTGCGCACCTGGCAGACGACTTCCGCGCGGTCTCCGCTTGGCGCGCCGCGCCTGGGGGGCGTGGCCCGGTACAGGAAGTGAAGCCGGAACTTCCGGCGGCGCGAGCGGGTCAGCACCCATGGCGGGGTGAGCAGCGCCGGGAGCGCGGGGCGGTGGCGTGCGCGCGGCCGTGGTCTCAGCGGCGTTTATGGGGCGCCTGCTGCATGAACCCAGCGGGCGGCAGTGGCCGGAGCCCACCCCAGGTGTCCTCGTCCGAAGGGACGCAGAGCCCACCTCCGCCGTAGCCGGGACTTGGTCCGTTCGGCGCGGTGCCGGAGGGAGGGTTGCGAACTCGAGGCGAGCGGTCAGCGAGGCTCTGGGGAGCGGGGGCGGGCAGAGAGCTGTTCAGGGCTTTAGGAAGAGAGGGGGCCGGTGAGGTGGCCCTGCAGGTAGAGGCGAAGCCTGCAGGCCGGAAGGCTGCGGCGCAGAGCTCCTGAGAGAGGGGAGGCTGCTGAGGCTGAATCCGGGATGCGGGTGGGGGTGGAGGGGGTCAGCGGCCCCAGTCAGGGGGGTGGGTTTGCGTGAGCCCAGTGTCCACCCCTCCCCCAGCCACTGGGAGTTGTTCTGGCGCCCAGGACCCCTTCAGTGTGAACTTTGGGCGCCACAGCTCAGTCCGTACACCTGCTTTCTGGCTGAGGCTTTGTCAGGTGGCCTCCTCTCCTGGGCTCCGTGCCCCATCTCTAAAAACGCGCGGGTTGCACCGAGGGCCCCACGGAGCTCAGGACCTCTGGGTGTGTGGATGCAGACTGCCTGCCCCCTTTCCCTCATCAGGTCCTGGAAGCTGGTGTGCGTTTCCCTTGGGCGTCAGGGCTTCCACACTGCTGGGAGTCACTACAAGGCTCGGACCAGCGCGGAGCACCTGTGGCTGACGCGGCAGTTGAAGGACCCGTTCGTGAAGGCTGCAAAGGTGGAGAGTTACCGGTGTCGAAGCGCCTTCAAGCTTCTGGAGATGGATGCGAAGCACCGGATCCTGCGGCCAGGCCTCCGGGTGTTAGACTGCGGGGCGGCCCCTGGGGCATGGAGCCAGGTGGCTGTGCAGAGGGTCAACGCTGCAGGCACAGGTGGGGTCTCCTGTGGATCTTAGGGCCATCCTGAGTCTGTGGAGGTCCCGAGCCGGAGGACATAGAGCGGCTGAGCTCTTTTTTTTCCGCTTAATGTCCATGACAGCATCCCTGCCTACCGGGGATTTCCAGGTCCTGGTTTCTGGAGCCCTCCCTCTCCCTGGGGTCCCCCTGGGGCTGTGCCACTCTTGAAGCTGGGAATCCAGGTTCTCAGCTCTGGCTCGGACGGAGGGACCTGCTTTTATCTTCCATAAATTCAGGGTTTTTTAATAAAATTTTATGTATTTTTAGAGAGAAGGGAAGGAAGGCAGAAAGTGAGGGAGAGGAACATCTGTGTGCGAGGGACACATCTATCGGTTATCTCTCACACACCCCCAACTGGGGACCTGGCCCATAGCCCAGGCTCGTGTCCTGACTGGGGATCGAACTGGCGACCTTTTGGTTCACACACGGGTGCTCAATCCACTGAGCCACACCAGTGGGGACTTTTTTTTTAATGTATAAAAATGGTTTTCCTGATTAAAAAACAGGTAAACCAACACCCACACAACTTAGAAAATAGTGGCATCCTTTTGAACAGGTGCTGGTGGTACCATTGAGTCATTTGGGGCATCCGGTCGCCACGCTGTGTGAGGGTCTCGCCACCTGCCTGTCATAGCATCTGAGGGTCCTGTGTGCACTGGCGTGGGTTAGTGTGACACTTGTGGTGACTTACAAAGGTCTCTCCGGACACCCTTGAGCTGGGCCCTCGTTTCCCCACGAGAACACAGAAGGTCAGGGGAGTGTAGTGACCAGCAGAGAGGCAGCCCCACCGCGCATGGCTGGGGTGCCGCAGGGGCCCGAGGGCAGCGTGGAAGCAGTGTTTTTAGTTCTGGTACTCACTGACCAGTGAATGGATTTGGGTCCGAAAGTTCATTGGCATCACTAGCCTATCCAGAGACTCAATTCCAGTGGCTCCCCTCTCCTAAGAAGCAGGAGGATGGCCCAGTTTAACTTGCTTTCTTTTTCTCCCAGAAGTTGCCCAACAGCACCCAAAGCCATTTGCTTGTAGCAGCCACTCCCTGACGTTGTAACACAGGACATTGCAGAAATAGAACAGCATGTGTGAGGTGAGGTGCATGGTGTCCCACTTCCCAGGGATGAGAAGGCAGAGTTTTGGCCTTTGTGAAATGAGGTGCTCTGCAAAGTCCGTGGATGCCTAGTCTTTACGTAGAAATAAAACACATTTCCCTCGTTCCCTCTGTGGAGCAGGCTTCTTACTAAACAGACTGAACAAATCTGTGATTGCCTTGACATGAGTCAGCAGAATGAACTCTGAGTAGGGAGGTGACGAAGAGAGGGGACAGTAGGGCTTGTGAGGGTCGGGGCTTTTGCAGCCTGAGAGTGAGGGGAGGGAGGCGGGGGATAGCAGTGTGCAGGCTAAAGGTCTTGTTTTAGGTAAAGTGAAACATTGACATCTTTTTACTTCACGACTGGCTGCAATACGCTCAAGGTATCAGTTTCATCAGTTTCAGACCTAATTCTATATCTGTACTTTCCCCAGATCCTGGCTTCTGTCTAATGAAAGAGTTTGGCTGAAGCTGCAGAATGGATTTGTTGATTTAGCCAGAGGCAGGTCAGCGTGTCATTTCCTGTTTTAGTTTTATGGAAGGAACATTGGGAGATAAGGAGGAACGCAGCCTCGGGGAATTTGGGGAAATGGGATCCGAGCTACAGACAAGTCCTAGGTGTGGCACCAGGCCTGCCGTCTCCCTGGGGCAGTCACTTGCCTCTCTGGGCCTCAGCTGCCTCAGATGCAGAGTGAAGGACCACTGCTGCCCCACGTGTGTTCTTGTAGGATGTATACAAAGTGGTAAAAGGCTCCTTTCCACCTGTTTGCACATGAGCTCTTTTTCTTGGTCCTGATTCTTTATTTCATTACTTTTAGGTGAAGAACCTGGGTGTAAATAAATAATTCATTCACTGTTTCTTCTTTAGATCCCAGCAGTCCTGTTGGCTTTGTGCTTGGGGTAGATCTTCTTCACATATCGCCCTTGGAAGGAGCAACTTTTTTGTGCCCTGCTGATGTGACTGACCCCAAAACCTTCCAGAGAATCCAAGAACTGCTTCCTGGTGGGAAAGCAGATGTCATTCTGAGTGACATGGCACCCAATGCCACGGGGATCCGAGGCCTGGATCATGACAGGCTCATTGGACTGTGCTTGTCCCTTCTGGACTTGGCTCCAGAGACCCTGTGCCCTGGGGGGTCATTCCTTTGCAAAACCTGGGCTGGGAGTCAGAGCCAACGGCTGCAGAAGAGACTGATAGGGGAGTTCCAGAACACGAGGACGCTGAAGCCTGCAGCCAGCAGGAAGGACTCCGCAGAGGTGTACTTCTTGGCCACACAGTACCGAAGGCCAAAAGGGTCTGGGAAGGGCTGAGCTCTCCGCTGCGCTGCTGTTGCTGGTCCTTTTCCCTGTGAATGCACACGGGACAAGTGGGGGACCTTTATTTCCAAACCAAAAAGAGAACAAGACTATTCAGTGGCTGTGATTAAAAAAAAACAGCCCATCACATGACTTGTGAAGAGGGTGTTTCAGTGAGAAAGAGACAACATGAAAAGATGGAAAGACCAGCTGGGAGGGAAGGACAGCGATGCAGGAGGCAGAGCTGGAGAGTGACTCAAGCCTTCCCGCTGGTGTTCTCACTCCACAGACTTAGCCAGTTACCGAACAACAGCCACCACCGCCTCCTGCCTCCTGCCTCCTCTGTTCCTGGCGCAGCGCAGGTTTCAGTTGTGGTTGTGGCCATACAGTGTAACGTAGAAAAGTCTGAAATTTCAGCCTGGGAATTGATTCCCATCTGCCTGGTGAATGGTCTGGAAAGACATCCATTCCTCCAGCAGTGAGAATTCCCAGAGCAATTAGGGAAGGTGTTTGGTATGAATTTGTGCCCAGGGTGGGTGTGCTTTGTTTTTTGCCTGGAGTCCACGTTGCTGTAACACGTGGGCTCTCCAGACCATAAAGGTGATTGCCTCTGCGAGCAGCTGTGCCGTGTGTTTGTGCGTTTCCTTTCACTCCTCCGGGACTCCATGCCGCTCCATAAAACATAGGCTGTATCATCTGAAGGGATGGTCGTGCCTCTAAGTTTATTTTTGTAACAAGTGTTCTGGTTTCTTCAAGGCCGTTTCCTCCCATAAGTTTACTGACTGTAGTGGTGATTTAATCCCGAGGACCCAGGAGTCTCCCTCCGGGCCTCGCGCTTAGCCCCGCAGCCCGAAGGACACTGTAGGACGGAGTTTCATTTTTCATCTCATTTCACGTGAGAGTCCAGACAACGCGCCATCCTGCCTCCACGACACACTCCCCCTCCGGGTCCCGTGCGTTGGGGGGCCCACGCAAACGTGTTTCGTCCTCTGGAAGAAGGGGGGTTCGGTGCAGACCTCGGGCCGCAGCGGGGCGGGCGGCCGGGAGGAGAGAGAACTCGAGTCCCCGGACAGACCTAGGTTGCTGTCCTTGGGCGGTGGGGAGGGGGGGCCGGTGCTGGCTGTGACCCGGAGAAAGGGGCGCAGGCGTACCGCCCTTCGCCGTACGCAGGAGCCCTGCGAAGAGGGAAGGGAAGTACGGCGGCGACAGATCTGGGCAACAGCTGAGCGTGCCGAGGTTCGGCGGTGCTATTCCACACAATACGGCGCGGGCGGGGGCCGCCTGCGCCTGATCACACGAGTGCCGAGGTGAGAGTACTGAGACCTCGCGGATCCGCGGGTCCGTATGGAGCCTCCAGCACCCGCGGGGCAGAGACTGGCGCTGCTGGGGCAGAGACTGGCGCTGCTTGGCCAGCCCCGTCTCAGTCTCGCGAGAGCTCAGCCGCTCGTCTCGCGATACGCGGGCGGAGAGGAGGGAGATCTGAGCTGCGACTGCAGCGGCGGGCTGACTGGGTCGGCGGTGACCTGAGGGCCGGTGAGATGAGGGCCGGGGCCTGGGGGCGACGGGAGGGCCAGGCCTGGCTGAGCCGGGAGACTGCGGGCTGGGAGGCTGGCGGGCGAGGAGGGCGAGCGGGGTCCGGTGTCGGGGCCCCGCTGCCGCTGAGGCCAGGCTGGGCGCCGCCCCCTCCGTCCTCCCGGGGCTCGGACCCCGCGTCCCCTCCCGTGTCTCTGTGTCCCGCCCACTGTCCCCACTGTGTCCCCGCGTACCTCCCACGTCACCTCTCCTCTGTCCAAGTTCCCTCTATCGCCCCCGCCCCGCGTCCCCCTGCTCCCTGCCGTCCCTCCGCGCCCGAGCCCCAGTGCTCGCCGCGCCCCCGCAGGCCCCAGGGTTTCCTCCAGGAGAAGGAGCCGCGGGACACGGCCTGTGTCATGGAGGCTGGCATGCGGCGGAGCAGGGTGCTCGGGAGGCGCCCCGGGGCTGTGGGGTGGGAACAGGCGTCCGCGCCCGGCGCCTGCACTTCCTCCGGGGAGACGTAGGGGTCGCTGCGGCTCCGCGCCGCGGCCCGGAGTGTGGGACGCGCCGGCCGCGTAGACGCGGGGTGTCGCCCCCGGTGTGAGCGCGGGGAGCGCGGGAAAGCCCGCGGGGGCTGGCCCAGCGGCGAGGTGCTGAGCGCCCGGCGGGTTCTGTGGGTCTCCCCGGGCGTCCCCCTGCCGGGGAGCAGGCGCCGGGGCCCCGCGATGGCAGCGCGGGCTTGGAGGGGCTGGGCCGCTGCAGGAGGGCGGCTCCGTCCAGGCAGCGGCCCGTGGGCGCGGCCTCGTGTGTCAGCGGCGGGCGCTCGGACCGGGATGACATCTCGAGAGAGGGCGGGCTGGCTGCCCTTCCCGTCCTGGGCTGGCAGGTGGGGCTCAGTCCTGTGCCCCCTTCCCGCCCGTTGTCCGCTGAGAGTGAAGGGCGGTGGGGGCTGCGCGGGCGCCGGAGGGAGTGACGGCCGGTGGCCGACGGGGCTCTGCGCACGGCCAGGGCGCTTATGGAATGGGAATTCAGAGTAAGAGGAGGGGTCCGCGCTTCCTGTTTTCTTTCCTTTTTTGACGGGGGGTGCAGGGGAGGTGCTTTCAGTGTAACGTGGGGGAGATCTGCGGGAACCAGCTTTTCTTAAGGGGAAAACAGTCACAATCTGTGGGAAATCAGCCTTCAGCTGTTAACTGCCTGGGACGCTGCGCCCAGCAGGGCCGGTAGCGCTGGGTGTGAGGCCAGAAGCAGCGCAGGTTTGGGAGTTCTTGGCAGGTTCTTGGTTGCTGCCTGCCCTCAGCCTTCGTGAGTCGGCTGGGGAGCTCAGCCAACCTGTGGAGCCAGGCAGACCCGGGGCTCTAGGCCCAGCGCTGTCACTTTAAAAAAAGAGGCTTTATTTATTTTTAGGGAGAGGGGAAGGGAGGGAGAAAGGAGAGAAACACCAACCACATGCCCCCACTGGGGACCTGGCCTGCAACCCTGGCACACGCCCAGCCCCCCGGCTGGGAGTCTTCCCAGTGCCCCTTTGGTTCCCGGGATGACACTCAGCCCGTTGAGCCACACCAGCCAGGGCTCTGTCCCCTCCTGCAGTGTCTTGTGTCAGAGCGCACGCAGCATGGCTGTCGGACTGTGTGGTGGTAGTTGCACCAGCTGTCCCCTGAAGACTTCTCCCAGGCACTGTGACCTGCACGGCAGCCTTGCAGTGCTCTTGCTGATCGCATTGCACCCCTGGGGAAACTGAGGCTCGAGGAGTCTTGATGCCAGCAAATGTCAAATAGCTTTCTTTCTTTACTTTGTTGAAAACAGCAGTAATTTATTAACGTCGTTGTTTAAAAGTTAGCATTGCTATGGCCATCGTCATCCTTACGGCCAGTGTTCCCAGCAGCTGGGCTTTTGGTGTGGGTGTCTGTGGGAGACTGCCGCCGGACTGCTGAGCCCCTTCTCCTGGGGCGGTCTGTCCGTCCAGGTGGGGGTCAGGCCCCCATGCTGACAGTGGCTCGGTGGCGTGCTGGCCTTTTATGCCTCTGTTTTCCCTCTGGTAAGTCAGTAGTCTGGGCTCCTGGTGAATGCTGAAGAACATGGTCATGGACCCCGGAGTGTTTTCAGGGCTCTGACAGAGTGCTAGAGGCAGAGCTGCCCCTGTGTGGTGGGGATCACTGTGACCCTCCTCTGTCTTCCTCCAGAGAGACGTGGCCATGGACGACCTGGGGGAGAACACCACCGTCCTGTCCTCCCTGAGGTCCCTGAACAACTTCATTTCCCAGCGAATGGAGGGCGGGGCCGGGCTGGACGTGTCCGCCTCTGCCCCAGGCTCTCTGCAGCTGCAGTACCAGCAGAGCATGCAGGTGAGTGTCGTGGTGGAAGGGGGGCCTCTGGGAGAGGACGCGCTCTCCCAGAGTGCAGCTGCGTGCCCCGGGTTGGGAGAGGGGTCTCTCAGGGAGAGAGCCCTGCCCCCAGAGAGGCCAGGTCGCTGTCCACATGCAGTGGGTCCTTGAATCCAGGTGTTTCATGCTAATGCTGACTAGGTGCCCTAGGAGCTCACCTCTTGTTCGGATCCGTCAGCCTGTGGTGAAACCAGGTTCGCTGCAGGTCCTCTGGGCTCCCAGTCACGACCCCTGTGGCTGACGGCAGGTGGAGGCAGTGAATGTTTTTTCTGCCTGGAGGCCAGCTGGCTGTCTCCCAAGCCTCTGGGGGTTCTTTGCAGTTTGGGGAAGGTGGCTGGGAGCCACGGCCTGGCCCTGGGCTGTCCCAGCTTTCAGGCCTGGTTCATCAGCACTGCACCGTGGGTCTGACACCCCCTGTGGGCTCACATCAGTAAGCTCATGACACTGGCAACAGGGTCCGAGAGCTGGCCTACTCTTTTAATGGAGGAAAACTCAGACTGCCTGGGAGCGTGGCCACTGACTGTCTGGCCAGCTGCTGGTTCCCTTGAAGGGGTAACATGCGGGGAGACTGTGTAAATGCAGGGTCGTGGTCAGCCTGGTGGGAAAGCCAGGCAGTAAGTGGGTTTTGGGTGTGTCCCGGTCACTGTGGGCAGGTCTCGGCCTCAGTCTGCCCTGGGGTGATTCTCCCAGTTCTCCTCTGGGGGTGGTGTCACTTCACTTTGTTCCAAGTCTCGGGCAGGGCCCAGGGAGATGCAGCTGTGGAGGGTCAGGCTCCTGGAGGACTTTGCTTCTGCAGGGTGGTGGGGCCTGGCTCGGTGGGGCGGGGTCACTGGTCTGCACGGGGACTGGAGGTGGTGCCTGCAGGCCTGCCCAGGCCCCTGCTGCTCTGTGCCAGCCGCTGCTTCGGGCCATCCTGCCTGTCCTGCCGAGTTCTCCCCTGCCAGCCAAATGTGCTGGTGCAGCCAGCCGGCCACAAGGTCCTGTACCCCGGGAACCCTGGGGGCTGTGTGTGTCCTTGCCCGAGTCACTGCATCACTGCAGGTCTGCTAGTGCACCAACTGGCTCATCACCCTTTTTGATGAGGACTGTTCTTTATTTTGAAATAGGGCTTTTCATTTCTGTTTTTGTGTTAAACGCGTTTGTATGAAATACCAGCAGTGATAGATTGTACTTAGTTTCTGTCATCCTTGCCCACTGGTCCAGAGAAGTTAGAATTTCACTGATGCAGATGCCTGGACCTTTGGCCGATGTGTCAGGACTGTAGATCCCAGAATTTCGGAGGTCCCCTTCACACGAGCTAGTGCCTTAGGGTCGGTGACCGAGTGGCGGAGCCAGAGCACGCGGGTTGAGCCACGCTGCCGCTGCGCCTGCCGTGGGCGGTGGCTCTCTTTCCTGCCACGCCTCCTCCAGCTGCAGGCCTGGGCAGCCTGGAGGCGGAGATCAGTGTCGCTCCCCATCAGTCCCTTCCTCCTTCCTTTTGTGAGGGTCCTGTTTCTGTTGGAAAGTGTTTATGGTTTGCAGTGCCACCACACGTGTTTGTGTAAATGTAAAAGTGTGTTTTAGTCTAGTCCCTACAAACGCAGTCAGGGTCCTAGGAGGATGTGGCCATAGGCCCCCTGTCTCTGGGACTCCTGGTCTCTCGGTGGTCACACTCCCTGGAGCTGGGGGGCTGTACCCTTTGGAGAAGCTGGGCCCCCTGCAGACTCAGAGTGAGACCGGGGGGCCAGGTGTTGGAGAGAGGGCAGAGTTAGGGCCTCCCTGTGTCAGCAGGTGGGAAGGGAACTGAGAGACACATCCAAGGGCTGAAGGCAGCGTGGATGGGGCCCACCATGTGTGGGGTGGGTGGGTGGAGAAAATGCCCTTTCTCTGGCTAGGCTTCTCACCCTGGCACTGTTGACATTTTGGGATGGATTCTTCGATTTGCAGAACTTCCCTGTGCATTGAAGGGTGCTTGGCAATGTCCCTGGCCTCTACCCACTAGATGCCAGCAGCGAACACACTACCGTCTCCTCTTGTGACTGTCTGCAGTGTCTCCAGACGTTGCCAGGTGTCCCTGACTGTGGCGGGAGCCGCTTGCTCTAGCTGGTGCTTCCCAAACCTCGATGTGTGTACGGGTACCCTGGGGCCGCACTTACGAGAAAGATTTTGATTCAGTGTCTTTGGTGGGCATCCCGAGACTCAGCTCACCGGCGGGGTGCCTGGAGGTGCCGTGTGCTGGACTGTGTGTGGACCGTTCCCGGAGTGGCCAGCCACTAGCCCACCTGTAGAAGAGGCCCGTATGGTCAGCAATTCTTTGAAACCGGTTGATGTGTCTTCTGGGGCCCTTCAAGGCCTGAACTCACCTTTATTTATCTGCTGTTGTGGGGAGTCAGACTTCCAAGCTGGATCCTAGTGGGTCACACTGTCTCCCACTTAATCGAACGCTAATGAGGTGTTGTGGCAACAAGATTGTGCACATGTAACAAAGGTCTCAAATCAGTTAATGTTAAGACAGGGAGAGGACCTAGGTGAGCCTTTCAATTGTGGGTTGAGGGATGGGACCTAGAAGTCGCAGGTGCAGAGCAGGAGAGGGATCCGCATGTGGGAGGTGCTGCCTGGTTGGCCCTGGAGCTGGAGAGGACCATGTGGTGGGGCGTGTGGGTGGCCTTCAGGAGCTGCAGTGGCCCATGGCTGACAGCAAGGAAGCAGGACCTCCGTCCCGCAGCCTTGGGTGGTGGGAGAGGGTCTGACGCCCAGATGCGAACTTGGCCCCGCTGATGTTGAGTTCAGCTGTGAGACTCTACTCTGAGGGCCCAGCCTGTGCTTGGCTTCCGGACCCTCAGGACCAGTTGCTCCTGTTACTGGAGCGTTCTGCTAAGTTTGGTGGCTTGTGACGCAGCAAGGAAACCCCCTTTTTTTTAGCATGCCCTCTATTTTTCAGACAGGATTGCCGTCTGTCATCTTGAAACCTACCCTCCTCTTTCCCCTTGTCGTCTTCTCTGTGCTAGCTGCATCCCTACATCCATTGCCCCGCCAGGGACCCAGCTTTTTTCATCTTCCCTGGGACTGAGTATAGGCCTGGTTGGGAGCAGGTGTCCTGGGGGTGAGGGTTGTATGAGCCGCTTGCCTGTGGGACGCTGCTGCTGAGGCCTCTGTCTCTCCTTTGGGCCCGACCCGGTCAGCTGGAAGAGCGAGCGGAGCAGATCCGGTCGAAGTCACACATCATCCAGGTGGAGCGGGAGAAGATGCAGCTGCAGCTGAGTCACAAGAGGGCTCGAGTGGAGCTGGAGCGCGCAGCCAGCACCAGTGCCCGGAGCTACGAGGTGGGTTCCGCTGGCCAGCTCCTGAGGACCCTGAGAACCTGGAGCTGCGCTGGCTGGGCACGGGCCCTCTGCCCCGTCCGCGGGACCTCCCTCCCAGGGCCTGGCAGCAGCTGTGTGCCCCTTCCTTGAGGAGGCAGCAGGATGCTGGCAGGCCTCCCCCACCCTCCCGTGGAACTGGATGCTTTACTTGGTGCTTCCTTGGCTTTGACTCGCAGCACTCTGCAGGGTTCTCAGTGAGTAGACGAGCTGAGGAAATGCTCTAAGATGCAGGTGGAGCCCCCAGCCCTGTGTTGCCGCCCTGAGGGTGGAAGTCTGGCCCCCTTACTGCCTTACGGGCACGTTTGCCTGCTTGCCTAGGCCCTGTGAGGGGAGTTGGGCTCTTCCAGGGTGTGCTGCTGCACTGCATGAGGGGACCTGGCCTGCAGGCTCCTGGCTGTGGCCTGTTGTGTGGGCTCCGGAGCCCAGATTGTGGTCTGGGGCTGCCGTGCCTGTCACTGGTCCAGGGGCTGCTCCGAGGGGTGTTCTCTGTGGGGTGGGGCTTGATGTCTTGGGTTGTCCTAGGAGGCATGGTCTTGGGGATGGGGGCAGGCAGAAGGGGAGGGAGGTTTTGTGGGAGGAGTACCATTATGAGGGTGAGGGAGGTGGCCTGGGGGCCCTTGCACGGCGGAACTGCAGGGTCGGTGGTGCGTCCCTGCTGTCAGGCAGAGATGTGGGCTGCGGAGCTGTGGGAGAGTCTCTGGGTCATGTGTCCTGTGAGGACAGGGCCTGTCTTGGTGGCCTTGGATCTCCAGTGTCCCACACAGGCTGTGGCATCTTAAAGGAGCTCCCATGACACGTGAGCCAGTGAGGGTGGCTGTAGGGTCATTGCCTGTCCTTCTTGGGGCTGTCCGTGGGTGAGGGCTGACTGAGCTTCACCCTGGGGCCCTCACTGTTTTGGGGCCCTGGGCCACGGTGCCAGCGGTTCTTAGGCTCTCAGTGTGGCAGTGGGTGGGGAGGACTGGTGGGTGGGAGTCTCACCCCTCCTGCATGGCGACACCCATCCACCCAGCGGTGCGGTGGTGGGCTGTGCCATGTGTGCTCAGGTCTGGCCGGCGGCCCCTGTGCAGCCAGCACACCCTCGCTCCTGCCTGGGGTGGGCTGCAGGGTCTCCTGGGGAGGGGTCGGGCCGAGGTCCTGGTGTCAGCTCTTGTGCTCAGTGAGGCAGCCCCGGGGGTACTGGGTGCTTCTGTGGCTCCACTCTCTGATGGGAGCTCAAAGGTCAGCAGAGCCTGGCTCCCCGGCCCTGGGGTTCTCTGCCTTGGCCCTCAGCACTCTGGCTGCTACTTCCTGGTCCCTTTGCTCCTCAGGCTGAAAGTAACCATCACAGTGGCTGAGTCAGCTCTGTGAGCCTGGGAGTGCCAGGGTGAGGAGTCTTAGTTCTGGGCCCTCCTTGCCAGCACAGGCTGCCTCTGCGGGTTCTCGGGAGGTGAGGTACCCTGGTGGCAGAAGGGGGCCCTGGGCCCGCTGTCCTGTCTGCAGGCCGCCTGTCCTTACCTGGTGGGATGTGCCGCAGGCCACGATGGCAGCTTGTGTGCCGTCTAGTGGAAGCTGCTTGTGCTGCCAGAGCTCAGAGGCTCCTCTTCAAGGTTGGGCCTGAGTTTGGGGCTGTCATGCTTCCTCTTCTCCCTGCAGATGGTCACTGTGGCCGGTGACACTGGGTGATGCATCTGAGTGCTCCTGGAGGGTCCCTGGGCAAGAGCCCTGTGCCGTCCGCTTTTTCCTGGCTCCTGGCGGCCTTCTCTGGGCCGAGGGCCTGGCCAGAGGGAGAGAGGGTAGGTGGGATCTTCCTGCTCTACCCCGAGGATGCTCACCAGGTCTCCCCTCTGCAGCGGGAGGTGGACCGGAACCAGGAGCTCCTGACGCGAATCCGGCAGCTTCAGGAGCGGGAGGCAGAGGCGGAGGAGAAGGCGAAGGAGCAGCAGGAGCGCAACAGGCTGTGTCAGCAGAGCCTGGAGGCCGCCAGCCAGAGGCTGCGGGAGAAGGAGGACAGCCTGGCCGAGGCCGGCACGGTGAGGGCCTCCGCCACCCGGCCGTGGGGCTTTCTGGGCGCTGCTCCACACCTTCCTCTCATTCCTGTGTCGTCGTCGTCGTAGTGAAGACGCTGTTTCCCTTCTGTGGTTTTCAGCGAGGGGGTTGCACACTTTTTTGTAGCAGCTGTAATTGCGATCTTTAGTGGTTGACGAAGCCATTTTCATTTTGAAATGCTTCTGTTTCTTATACACACACCCTGATACACAGACATAGGTGTGGCAGATAGGTTTGGTTCTGCTGTGGTCTCTCCTGTCACGGGTGGCAGAGCTTTCCAGGAACAGCTGCCTTCTTCCCCAGAAGGTGCGGGTAGTGGCCTGACAATGTGCATTTCTGGGGTTGCGAGTGGGGGTCTGGTAGGGCCTGGGAGCACCTTTGAAACCAGAGCACGGGTGCACTGTAGTGTCCCTACCAGCTCCAACAGCGAGGGTTGCCTGCCTTTTAGAAGCAGCTCACACGTTGATGCTGGGGGACACTGGCCTTGTCGGACCTTGCCTGCCCCTTAATGTGCTTCGGGGAAAAGACGAAGCTGCTGGGGGAGAGGCTGTGGGTCCTTGGTGCTTGGTCTGCCTGACAGTGTTGGGGCAGGCCTAGCCTGTCTGTGCCCCGCAGTGCTGGAGAGCGGGGGAGGGTGTTTCCACGTCTGTCTTCTGATGTGGATGCTGGCTGGAGGGGGCCGGGGTTGACCTCAAGACGAGCCGCCCTTGCTCTTTGCGCTTGGTGTGCTTGCCCACGCTCTGTCCTGGGCCGGTGTCCTGGCAGCAGGTGTGGGAGCCCCCCCATTCGGTGAAGGGCAGCAGGGGAGCTCCTCACCGCAGAGGTTGCAAAGAGAATGCCGAACGGGGCCCAGCGTGGGGCCGTCGTGGCTGGCTGGCATGCAGTTCTGTGAACCTCGCATCTTTCCACCCCTTGGAGAAGCCCTCTCTAGTCGCTCAGCCTGAAGCCACAACTCTACGCTCCCGCTGCGCCCACCTCTCCCCCGGTGCCGGCTCCTGTGCCCGCCACGCCCTGGGCCCCTGTTGGGGATGGCCCAGCTCCCCGACAGTGCCTGTCTGACCCAGTGGCCTGCGCAGTGCCAGGTACCGTGTGCGTTGACGGGTTCAGGATGGCTTCTCAAAGGGTGTGTTCATGGTCAGCATGGTTTGGTGCCTCCATTCCGTTTGGTTCCCAGTTTGGCGGGCTCTGTCGTCATGAAGCATGCTACGCAGGTCAGCGGAGCGCGGGATGCGGGCCTGTGCTGGTCCTGCCAGCCTCCTGGGTGGACGTGGGTGGCGGTGTCCATCGGACACAGGGCCCCAGTTGGACTGTGGAACGAGCGTGGTGGCCTCTGTGTCTATGGAGGGGGCCCCAGGGGCCACCAGGTGTTGCTTGCCGTGTTGCACTGTCCTCAGCCCACCTTCCCGCCCTTGCTCCCAGGGTCCCTCTGCTGACATCTGGCCCCTGGGGCTGGCGTGGCGGTCTTCCTACGCACTAATTTATGTGGTGCTGCTGAGTGGGCTGGCCTTTCCTGTCATCTGAGCAGGCTTGCTCTGTCCCCTGGGACAGCCACAGGGGCAGTGCTGCCGCCAGAGGCTGCCTGGCGGGCACAGGTGCTCAGCGGACTGGCTGTCCTGGGCCAGGCCGTGCTCCAGGATGTCTCCCTGGGCTGGGGTTGTCCCTTCAGGCCACTTCCCACCTGGGGGCGCTTCTGCTGTGGCATTGTGGCAGCTCCTGTTCACCTGTGTGTCTCTGTGGTGTTGCCCTGAAGACAGCCTCAGTCCCCCGTGTCTGGCTTTGTGGGGGTCTCCTGGCTGTGGCTTCCAGGTGGCATCTGTGGCACTCAGCTGGAGTGGTATAGTGGCACCAGGTTAGGGAAGGAGGCCAGGCTGAGAGGCCAGAGCTGAGTGTGGGGGACCAGCGCATGAGGGGACTGGTGTAGGTCTAAGGTGCCGGGACGTGGGTGTGAGGCCCCGGCTCACCCTGGTCGGCAGCAGCTCTGGCTCCTGAGCCATTGTCACCACAACCCTGCCTCTCCTGCTGGCTCCTGAGAGACGATGAGTGGGCTGGGGCCGGTGCTCTGGGGCTGGGCCTCGCTCCCTCAAGAAGCGGACGGCTCTGGCCCTGCCCTCAGGAGTGGGGTGGGGGGTGGGCTCTCGGGAGGGCCTTTTTGTGTGGGAGGCTCACCCGTGTCTGGGTGCAGCGGCCTCAGTGACTGGTCTCGGGACGGCTCTCTGTCCGCTCTCAGACCATCAACGAGCTGAAGGGCAGGATCTCGGAGCTGCAGTGGAGCGTGATGAACCAAGAGGTGCAGGTGAAGGGTCTGGAGTCTGAGAAGCAGGAGCTGCAGGAGCAGCTGGACTTGCAGCGCAGGTGAGTGCGCGTGGGGCATGTGCAGGGTGGGGTGACCCGCGCTAATAGGTGGGAGACCGGGGCTTGCCTGTGCCCCCAGCCGTGTGTGCCCAGCCTCTGAGGGCCATGAGTGCCACAGCCCTCAGAGCCATGGGCTCTCAGGGCGGACCTACGGCCTCCGAGGCCAGGACTGTGTCAGGACAGAGTGGCACCTTAAGTGTCCAGAGGACAACCTGAGGGAGCACTCGTGGAGGGGGATTTGAGAAGGCGTGGTGGTTGAGTGGGTTCTGAAGGCCGGCGTGGACATCTGCGGCTGGGGGCTGGGTGGGAAAGGGCATTCAGGACTAGAGCAGCATTGTGCACAGGGTCATGGAGTGTGAAAGAGCCCACCTAGGCGAGAGCAGGAGGCTGAGTGCCCTTCCTCAGAATTTGGCCTTCGTCTTCATAGTTGCTGTCTAGGAAGAGTCCTTGCCATGTGGCAGAGTCGGGGGACAGTTGGGAGCAGGTCCTTGCCGTGGCTGCACTCATGCCAACCGCCACAGTGGCAGCACGAGCGGCCATGGGACTGGATGCTGTGGCGGGAGGGGTTTTGCCAGGGGTCTGGGCTCGCTCACACGCCCCGTCCCGAGGAGGAGACGGGCCCTGCAGCTGCTTGCCGGGGCTGGAGTTCGGGGTCCTGACACCATCCCTGGAGGGAGTGCCTGGCAGCACACATGCACATGGGTCGGTGTGCATGTGTGCGAGTGGGTGTGCATGTGTGTGTGTCTACACTGCAGAGCTTTAGGGTTAGGGCGACCATTGGCCCCATACACACCACATTCTGCCTGGGATCCACTTTTCACTTTAATAGAAAATGGCAGGAAGCCCATGAGAGGATTCAGGAACTCCAGGCCAGCCAAGAGGCGAGGGCAGACCAGGAGCAGAGGATCAAGGTGAGAGGCTGCATTTCACCTGGCCCATGTGCCGTAGGCATCAGAGGGGTGGTCCCAGCCCTCCTTCCCCATGGGGGTGCGCTCAGTGGCCTGTGGGGACACCTGCTGCCTGCGCCTGCTGTGCCGTCGGCACTGATCACGCCCTCACGTGCTGGGCTTGTGCAAGCTGCCTGGGATGCCACAGTGAGCAGGGGACATGTCCTCCCAGGAAGCTTGCGTTTCCAGTGGGCAAAGGCTGCCGGCACCCACAGAGAGGAGTGTGACCGTGTGACCATTCACATGCTGTGAGCTGGAAGGTGGCAAAGCTGGCTCACTGAGGTTGTGCAGCTGCTGCTTGCTGGGCCGTGGTGCGGGACGCCTGGGCCCTGAAGCCCAGGCTGTGCTGCTGCCCTGCGGGAGGGCCTGCCAGGGCACTGTGACGGCAGCTTCCTGGGCTGGCTGCCTGCCGCCTGGGGAGTGACGTTCACACTCTGAGCCCTTCCTCATGATCCACCTTCCTTCCCCCTGCACTTGTCCCCTTGTTTCCCAGACCCCTTGCTCTTCTAGCCTTGGGTCTCTCCCAGGCTGTGTCTTGTGGCTGCTATGCTGACCCATCCCTCTCCCTGGCCTGTCTCCCTGCCCTCACTGCTCCATGTGGCCCTGTTACCCTTCCCTGCCCCTCATCCCCCTGGCTGCAGCCCTTGTGCACTTGGCCCACTTCTCAGGGTTTGCTGGCCTGCACTGCTAAGCGACTGTCTCTCCCCCCTGGATGCTCGGACCTTCCTCACAGAGACTTCCTCTGTCTCCTGTGTCACCCTGTCTGCATTGTGGGCCTCAGGACCTGGTGCAGGGATGGGCCTTGTCAGTGTCTGTTGAGTGACTGACTCATTGGATCCTGGTGTCATACTCCTATCCTGTTTTGTGACTTGTCACTAAGGGATGCCAGCTGTTTCCATGGTGTCCTCAGGGGACGAGGGGGTATCAGGAAAAGGCTGTTTTCCCCGGGGAGAAGATTCAGTTGTTGCATGTGTGTGCAGAGCATCGGAAGCAGACCTTGCTCAGGGGAGTGGGAAGTCTCACTGGCCCATGTGTTCAGGAGCCTTGGCTGAGCATCCCTGGGCCAGATGTGTGCTAGGTCCCTGCCCCTGTGGGCAGCACAGTGCCGCCAAGTGACACGAGCGTGCGCTGCGCTGAGGGCACCAACCCAGAAGTGAACGCTGAGGCCTGGCACAGAGGCACAGCCGGTGTAGGTAGGACAGGCTTCCCAGAGGAGGGGACTGGGGCCACGGAGGTCGCTGAGGACCTGGGGCAGTGGGCGTCCACGACTTCCTCCTGTCTGTCCTTGGCCTCCATCAGGATCTGGAGCAGAGGCTGCTCCTGCAGGAGCAGGACGCTGTGATTGTGAAGAACATGAAGTCTGAGCTGGTGCGGCTGCCCAAGGTGGAGCGGGAGCTGAAGCAGCTGAGGGAGGAGAATGCCTGCCTGCGGTGAGGGCTCGGCGGGTGGGCGGTACATCCTGGTTGGGATCTCAGCGTGCCACTGTGTAGCCCGGAGCCCCTGGGGCCCGTGGCCTCTCCCCAGACACATGGCTGTCCACGTGACTTTGTCTCTGTCCCCCACAGGGAGGTGCGGGATGCCAATGGGCTGCTACGGGAGGAAGTGGAGGGGCTGCAGCGGAGGCTGAGCCGCCAGGAGAAGATGCAGGAGAGCCTAGTTGACCTGGAGCTGGAGCAGGAGGTGAGGGCGGGGTGCCTGTTGTCTAGGGGGCTCTGCATATTTCGTCAGCATTCCAGCTGGTCCCCTAAGACATGGAGCTGTGTGCTGGAGCAGTGGGCAGAATCTTGGTCCCCAAAGATGGCCATGTCCCAGCCCCCAGGACTGTGACTCTATTTCCTTAGGTGGTAGAGGGGAACAGAGGGTGCCCCTCCACTGGCCTGGGTTAGGTCAACCCCCTGGGTAACCCAGGTGCTCCAGTAGGATCACAAGTAGTTGTGTGTGTGGGGGGGTGATGTCAGTGAGCAGGCTGGCCCCGCTGTGACTGGCACTAGAGAGGGAGGTGGGGGCTGGGATCCAATGGATGTGGGCGGCTCTAGAAGCTGGAAAAGGTGAGAAAGTGGATCGTTTCCCTAGAGCTTCCAGGAGAGCAGCCCTGCTGCCTCTGTGTTTTTAACCCTGGGAGGTCAGACTTCTGAAGCTTAGGGCTCTAAGGCGGTGAAGGGCAACTGTTACATATGGTGCCTTAAAGAGACATTGTTGAGTGAGAATTGAAACATTGTTCCCACTCATAGACCTGAAGGGCTGTGAAGCTGAGTCTTCTACCTGCATCTGCTGGCGGGGTCACAGGCAGCAGGTACTTTGTGCGACCTTGTAGAGAGGGCAGTAGGACGCCGGTGCTGAAACACGCCGGCTTTCCTCTGGGTGCGTGAGGCTGTGGCCCAGAGGAGGCTCTCTGTCTTGCCCAGTGCTCATGAGTTTGGACTAAAACTTAGGCCCCCCGACCCCTGGCCCAGGGTCTCTCTGTCCCTCTGCACGGCTTCCCTGGGGCCGTACCCCATGGCCTCTCCTCTCTAGCCTATCTGGCACACACCGAGTCACTTCTCCCTGGTTGTGCCAGGGTCTGGTAAGAACGGCTGCCCCTTTTGAAGGGTACCAAGCACTCTGACCACCGTACCGCTGAGGCCCTGCTGGTCCCTACGCACTCTGTTGCCGGACAGTGGCCATCGCCCACGAGGAGGCCCATGGCCAGCCTGAGGCCCCATGGCATGGAAGCGGAGCTCCTTTCTCTGAGGCCAGGATTGTAGCTTGAAAAGATAGTCCTGGAACTGAGCAGTTTCTCGGTGGATGTAGTTTATTTTGAGATTGGTTACTATTTTGGCGCTAGAATCACACTGCCTAGTTTTAAATTTTGCCGTGGGTGCTTACTGGCTGTGTGACCCTAGGCAACTTACTTAATCTCTCTGTTCACCTGTATGGTGAGGAATGACAGTGTTGGCTGCAGTGAAGAAAGTACTAACCATGCGTGCCTGGCACTAACAGGAGTGCAGGAGGCACTTGAGCAACGGGGTGAGTGTGTTCAGAACACTGTGCCCGGCTCTGGGTAAAGGAGCAGGAGGCCATAGCCTGGAGTCTGCCCTCACCATGGTTACATTCTAGAAGGGTAGTGAGCCCTGGAGGGTTCCCTGGGGGAAGGTCCATGTGGGCAAGCCCCCCTGCAGGCCACACTGGCCAGGGGTGGGCATTCCCTTCACCCTGTTCTCAGGGCTGCCTTCCTCATGCTGTGGGGCCACAGGGCCTGGGCCACCTGGCAGGTGGGAGGCATTGAGTTCTAGGGCTCAGTCTGTCTGCCCTTCGGCTGGGTGTCTCGAGAGAAGCTGGGAGACTTGGTAAAGGTGGCGGCTCCCTGTGGGTCCAGGGGAGTATGGGCTGTCTGGGAGGCTATGCGCTTGCCTACCCGAGGGCCTTGCAGCCTGCCGGGAGCCTGCAGGGGGTGGGGACCAGGGACAAATGAGGTATCTGCATGCAGTATGCCGTCCTCAGTTGGGAGGCAAGCTGTCTGCTTTGGAGCAGACTTGAGTGTCTCTGTGTCTTGGCTCAGAGATGAGGACGGGGTCCCCAAGGGGTGGGAAAGTTGGCCATCAGTGTCACTGTCAGCTTCGTGTGATGAGGTCCTGTGTGGGGGTCCGTGGGCTCATGGTGGGTGGGTGAGAGTGGGGTGAAGGGGCGAGGCAGGACAGCGGGAGGGCTGTGGAGCCCTTGTGCAGGTGGCAGTGGGGGCATGTGCTCTGCGCTCCATCTGCCCTGTCTTTTCAGAGGCTGCTGGCAAAGCTGCGAAGCTGGGAGCGGCTGGACCAGACCACGGGCTTGAGCATCAGGTAGGCGGAGGTGCTGGTGCCTTGGTGTCCCCCGTGCTCTCTGTGCACCAGCCCCCAGCCCTGCAGCAGAGGCCCTGGCAGCTGAGGAAGCCAGTGCCCTCCCTGCCTGAGTCCTCAGGGCACCCTCATTAAGCATCGGGGGCAGGGACAGGGCTGGACACCAGGTGCGCTGGGCTGGCCAAAGGAGAAGTGGGGGCTTTTGGCCTGGCCCAGCTCTTCCTGCCCAAGGCGGCTTAGCTGACCAAGGCTGGCCACCAGCGGGCCATGGCATGAAGTCTGTCCCTCCTGTGCCACACTTTTACTCCACCGGACCTCCGGGCCCCACCCAAATACTGTGGGTGAGTTGGCAGGCCCATGGCATGTGACACCGAGTTCACAATGTGTGAGTCCGGCTGGAAGGCCAGCCTGCACGTCCACAGCTGGGTGGTGGCAGGTGTTTGCCTGGCTGGCCTCATTGAGCTATGCCAGAGGACTTCCTTTTGTATGTGCTGAGGATGCGATCGCTTCTGGGGGAAGTTGTTCCCATTGGGCACTTGTGATGGGCGGTAGTGGATGAAAACACGGTAACAGAAGACTATTGTCTTGATGCAGTAGCCTCCTCAGCTTGCCCATGTCGACCTGATGCAGGCGAGGGAAGCAGGGTACAGAGCCAGGCGGTGGCCGGGGGATGTTGGGCCTCATGTGCTCTGATGGGCAGGGTGGGCATCTTTACCCCGCCTGCCCTCTGTGGGCATAGCCCCTCCTTCTCCAGCATCACACCATGGCAGCTGCCCCTCCGCCTGGGACGCCTGCAGACCACCTGCCTCAGCAGCCTGTTCACTGCCTGGTCACTCCAGTCTGGGAGGCATGTGGTGGAAGGTAGATCATTCTGGATTAGTCCCTGTAGCCTGGGGCACGCAGCCTGTGGTGTTCAAAGAGCCTTTTGTTGTTTTGTCTGCTCGCGTGGCTTTAAGGCCTTAGTGTGGGAGCTGACTTTCCCGGAGACCAGGCCAGTGCTGAGAGCTTCTGTAAAGAGCTGTCCTGTGGCCACACTGCGGGACTGCTGGTCAGGACCAGTGGCCATGCCGATGGGCATTATTGACGCAGCTGCCCCTCGCTTGAAAATGCCTCTTCGTTTTCCTGTTGCCTCTCTGAGTCACAGAGGACTCGACTTGCGGAGCCCTGACTCACGCAGGGCGGCCCAGCGGGGCCCGGATGTTCTGTGCTTCCTCCTGTTCTCAGCTTATTAGCAGAGCTTCCCCTGCTCCCTGGGAGACGCGTCAGAAGAGGCACCGCCGTGACTTCTTTCTCGGGCGGGAGATCAGAGGCCTGCATGTGCCCGATCAGGCCTGCCCGCTGCAGCATGTGAGTGTCCAGCGGGCCATGAGCCCCGCAGGGCCGTGCACAGGCTCTGCCTCTGGCCAGGCTGGCCCCAGGGCTCCAAGGCCAGGGCATGAAGCGCAGCAGCTCTTGGATGCCTCTTAGGTGGGTTTTCCTGTCATTGGGAGGGAAGGCAGTGCTCTGGGCACGGAGCCTTCAGGGTCACGCGTGCACGAGCACTTAGCGCTGCCATGTAACTGCACAGGCTGCCTGCTGGTGGGGGCAGGGCGGGGTGTCTCTGTGGCCCCTGTGAAGGGCAGGGTTTCTCTCTTGTGCTCTGTGGTCGCTTGTGTCTGGGCCTCTCTGGGGCTCCTTGGGGACGGCAGCTCCTCTGCCATACCTTTTCTGTCCCCTCTGGGCATTGTGGCAGGCCTCACCTCTGGCCCCTCATACTCTAAGTGTGTGTGGGTGTATATAGGTGTGTATAACTGGCACTGGGTCTCAGACTTGTGCCCTGAGTGTGGCCAGCACCAGAGTCACTGGGAGAGGGAAGCACAGATGCAGACTCCTGGGTCAGCCTGTCCTGCTGCCGGGCTGGAGTCTTGTGACTGCTGAGGAGGAGATGGCTATCTTTTTTTTACTGCCTTTTGGGCAGTTTATAAAGATTTCTGAGCAGGGAGGGTGACTTGGTGGAGCCCCTGTTTAGCGACCTTTGGTCGGTGGTGGGAGACGGGCAGAGGGATACAGGATACGGGGAAATGTTGGGGGCACTTCTGCAGTGTGGGGCCCTGCAGGAGGGACATCATGGGCGAGATGGCTATGTTCCGGGAGAGGCGTGTTCTGAGGGTGCTGCTGTCTGGGTGCTTGGAGGCGGGATCTGCCAGGAGCAGGGCTAGATGCCCCTCCCCCTGGTGGGGTCAGTGCAGCAGGAACGACAGTCTGGACCCTGTGAAGGTAGGCAGACCTCTGACCTCTGTGTTGTATGGTCTTATTCTGGTAAAGATTTTGTTTATTTTAGAGAGGGGAAAGGAAAGAGAAAGAGAGGGAGAGAAAAATCAAGGAGTGGCTGCCTCTCACACGCCACCTGCTGGGAACCTGGCCTGCAACCCAGGCATGTGCCCTGACTGGGAGTCGAACCAGTGACCCTTTGGTTTGCAGGTTGGTGCTCTGTCTGCTGAGTCGCACCAGCCAGGGCTGGTGTGATCTCTTTATGCTGCTGCTTCCACATCCGTGAATGGAGGGCTCATCTAGAAAACTGGTTTCTTACCGTGGTCGTGGGTCTCTCTGAGTGTCTGAGCAAGTCACAGACTTTCTTCTCATGCAGACCCATGTTTGTATGTGGGTTTGTGAGGACACACAGCCATGTGTGGTAGTTCAGGGAGCCACGACCCTGGAGCGTGATCAGCCAGCTCTACCTGGTGGCAGCAAGTCAGGGTTCGGGAGGTGCCCTCGAAGCAGGGGTTCGAGGGGCTGCCAGGCATTTAGGCCTGGCCTGGTGGGCTTGCATTGTTTGTCCCTGAGTCAAGGCACCGTGATGACTTTGGGACTGAGACCATTCACTGGGGACACATCAGGACTCTGGGCTCTGGGCTCTGGTCTGTGCCCAGTGCCTCCTGGGTTTCTGGGAGCTGTCACCACTAGGTGGCGCACCCCCCCTTGGTGATCCTGGCTCCTGGGCCCTCACAGCCTCAAGTCCTGGAGTGGCTCTCTGGTCTGCCTGGGCTTCTGGGTTTGGGTCTGTGGCTCCTCCTGGCCCACTGACCATCCCCTCGGGCCTTCCTTCTCAGAGCCAGGCTTGCTCCTGCAAAAGTGGGTGCCTGTGGTCTGTCACTTACCCTGCCTGTGGGTGGCTTGCCGGCCACTGACGATTGTCCCACCTGCTCTGTTCTTGAGCAGATGAGAAAGACACCTCTACAACCCCCAAGGTCCTGGCTCTGTGAGCTGGCAGAGTTCAGGCCGAGTGCTCCTGCCTGGGCGCTCCTCTGTGGACGGCACCGTGGCCTCTCCCAGGGGCTTGGGGCACTGTGGCCTTTGGGACTGGAACAGAGTTCTGCTGGGACACCTGCTGGGGCCCAACCCCTGAAGATGGCATGAAATGGGCTCGGGAGGGCAGCACAGAGGTCACCTTGCTCCCAGTTTGGGGTTTCTTAAATCAGGAAGAGCCCAGACGTACCGGGGACATACTGGGGAGGGGGTGTGATGGCTGGTACGTAACCATGTAAGCTGTAAGGAAGGCCCTTCAGCTGAGTTTCATCATTCTGTCAGAGATGCTTGTACACCCTTGGTGATGCCGGGCGCCTGCCTCCAGCACACAAGTCTTGTGTGTTCGGGGCAGGCTGGGCGCTGCCCTGAGGGTCGGGATGTGAGGGCTTGCGGGCCTGGGCCTGTGTGCTCCGGGGGGGCACTGGTGTGGGAGGAGAGCAGGTGGGTTTGTTGTCTGGGTGTCCTTGTCCCGGGTCTTTGAAGGGGGCTGAGAGGTTTAGCAGCGGCATAGAGGGCGCAGAGGTAGCAGAGAACAGTGAGGTGCTGGGCGGCGCCCCTGAGCAGCGTGGTCTGTCGAGGGAATGATTCGAAGGCACTGGGTGAAGGTGAGCACTGTCGACGTGTCTGGGTCAGCCTCAGCAGACGGCTGGGGCGCTGGAGACAATGAACGGCCGAGGGAGGCTGATGGGAGAAATGGGGGGCAGTGAGTGCATCCCAGGACGAGTTCCTTCAGGCAGGAATCCCTTGGGCCGAGGCAGCAGAACGTGTGTGAGACCTGTGCACTGATGATGCTAAATGGTCGCTGAGGGAGGTCACAGGCCACCTGACAGTGTGAGTGTCCAGCGAGAGGAGAAGGATGCCGTGCTCACAGGTGGGACAATTCAATGTCATCCAGATGTCCATTCACTGAAGTGGACCCTGCGTTCAGTGCCGTCCAGTCAGAGCCCTGGAAAGCTCTTAGGGCAGAAATCGGCAAACCAATTCTAGGAGTTCTGTTGAAATTAAAAGGACCTAGAGTGGCTGTAACACTTTGGAAAAAGAAGGAGCTACAGGGCTTCTGGTGGCTGCTTTCAAGCCACACCGTGAGCTGCGTTAGTCAGGACGGCATGGCCCCTGGGTTGGGTGAGGCCTGCTGATCATTGGGGCAGGATGGGAGGTCCAGGGACAGCCCATGAACAGAGCGGCGACCGATGCCTGTCAGGGAGGACAGGGCGATTCAGGAGGACAGTCTTTCCAACAAACTGCCACCGAGGGCAGCTGGGGCACAGACATGGCGCCCTGTGCGTTGTGCAGAACTCAGAAACACAGACCGTGAGTAGGGAACATCGGTGAGTCAGACCTCATCAAAATTAAAAGCCTTTCCTCTCAAACCCAAGGAAAAGAGGAGGCCAGCGTGGGCCGAGGTAGTGCTTGCTATGCGTGCGTGTGTGGGTGTGTGCGTGTGTGCGTGTGTGCGTCGGAGGGCTCTTGTCCCAGAGGGGGCTTCTTTCAGATCAGGAAGAAGATGACCAGGCACTTAGAAATGGGCAAGGGACTTGGAGCAGTAAGTTTACGGAAGGAAATACGCGAATGGCGACTGTGGACAGGGAAGGTGCTCAGCACCACTGTCGTTAGGGAGCGCAGGTCGGCCCCGGGGAGACGCTGCTGCTGACCATGTCCGGAAGCCCGTGGGGTGGCAGCACCCAGCACAGCCACGGGGAGACAGTCTGGCAGCTTTC